GAGCAAATTGCTAACAGACCACCATGCGCCTACCCCATCAAAGTTTCTATGTAGAGCTAGATTTGACAGTAGGACTCGTCAACCAAACGAGTCAATATCAGAATATGTTGCTGCTTTACGTCATTTAAGTGAATTTTGTGAATTTGGAGACACGCTGTCTGACAGACTATGTGAAAAGTTTGTGACAGGTGTAAACAGCCCTGATATTCAAAGAAAGTTGCCGCTCGAGTCAGATCTAAAATTGGAAAAAGCAATACAACTTGCAACTTCATACCAGCAGTCATCAGATGCGGCGAAATCTCTAACGCCTTCAGGGATCCATGCAGTAAACAGCAGGTTAGTCAATAAACATCAACCCCAACAGAGCATTCCAACTTATGCTAAACACCCTGCTCGTTCAAATCCTAGATCTAAATCTAGTAATAATTATCAAAAATGTCATCGATGCAAAGGTCCCCATGCATCTCATCTGTGCAAGTTCAAATCTGCAACTTGTTATAAGTGCGGTAAGCAAGGTCACATTGCTAAGGCCTGCTTTGCAAAGTCTTCGTCTGTTGCTAAATCTAGCCAGTCAAGACAGTACCGCAACCAAAAGCAGCACTATGTTAACTCTCACCAAGACTACCTAACCCAACCAATGAACCACTCTACCTGTGAAAATGCTCAAACTGATTCGCAGCCGGATTTCAACCTATTCTCTGTGAAATCAATAAGTCATGCTCCCATCAATGTACAAGTTAATATCAACGGTAAGAGCATCAGCTTCCAACTTGACACTGGAGCATCACTAACAGTCATCACAAAGAAAGATTTTGACGCTGTCACAGGAGGATCAGTGTCTCTACAGCCGTGTCACAAGTGTCTAACAACATACACTGGTGACAATGTTCCGGTAATAGGAGAGTGTATGGTTCATGTAAGTTATAATGGTCAAAGTGTTAAACTTCCTCTTCTTGTGGTTGAAGGAAATGGACCGCCATTACTAGGTAGGAACTGGTTAAGTGATCTTAAGTTAAATTGGGAGAGTATTTGTTCATTGAAGAATGTAAAAGAATCTAGTCTTACTTCACTAGATAAAGTTATATCTGAAAATAAATGTGTTTTTGGTAATTCAGGTTTACTAAATGATAGAACAGTGAAGTTAAGCATTAAAGATACAAATCCAAGATACTGCAAAGCTAGAGTTCCACCTTATGCAATGAGGAATAAAATTGAAAATGAGCTAAGTAGATTGGAATCCAATGGCATTATAAAGAAGGTAGACTATTCCGATTGGGCGACACCCATTGTGCCAGTGTTAAAGAAGGATGGTTCTATAAGAATTTGTGGAGATTATAAAACTACACTGAATAAGCAAATAGAGCTAAATAGGTACCCTATACCTAACATTGAGGAAATTTCTTTGAATTTGGCAGGAGGAGACAAATTCACTGAATTAGACTTTAGTCATGCTTACACTCAACTAGAACTGCATCCAGATTCAAAAGTCTATACGACAATAAACACACATAAAGGACTCTACCAATATGAAAGACTATGTTTTGGCATATCATCTAGCCCTGGAATTTTCCAAGCTGTCATGGACAGTATTTTTAAGGACATTCCAAATGTTTGTGTGTACTTTGACAATGTGTACATAACTGGTAAGAATGACACTGAACATCTTAAAACACTTAATAAAGTATTGAAAATTGTTGGTGAAAAAGGTTTAAAGATAAACAAAGATAAATGTCAATTCATGTTGACAGAAATTAGTTTTCTTGGTTATATATTAAGCAAGCAAGGTATCAGACCTCAACCTGAGAAAACAAAAGCCATTAAGGAAGCACCCAAACCTGAAAATACCCAACAACTAAGAGCTTTTTTGGGCTTGATAAATTACTATGCAAAGTTCATAGGAAATCTGTCTGGTAAACTATCACCACTGTACAAGCTGCTACAGAAAAATGCAACTTGGCACTGGGGTAAACAACAAGATACTGCTTTTAATACAGCAAAAGAGGCTTTGTCTGCTGACACCTTACTAACTCACTATGACCCAGGGAAAAGACTTATATTAACATGTGATGCTTCACCAGATGGTGTAGGAGCAGTCTTGTCCCACATGGATGAGAAGGGTGACAGACCCATTGCTTTTCCCAGTAGATCTTTGAACCAGGCTGAGAAAAATTATTCTCAGTTAGATAGGGAAGGCTTAGGCATCATTTTTGGTGTTAAGAAATTTCATAAGTTTCTGTTTGGTAGGAAGTTCACCATCTTTACAGATCATAAACCATTGCTAGGTTTATTTGGAGAAAACAAAACCCTACCTGAGCATGCCTCACCAAGAATTCAAAGATGGGCTATCACACTAACTGCATACAATTATGAATTGAAATACAAACCTGGATCTGAGAATAGTGCAGATAGTCTTAGTAGATTACCTTTAAAAAACCAAAGCCTGAGCTATGTACCAGAAGATGTATTTGTTCTCTTCACTATCATGGATAACTCCAATATAAATGTGAATGATATTAAAAGAGAAACACAAAAAGATGAGTGCTTAATAAAAGTATATGAGTACTGTAAGAATGGTTGGCCTGAAGAGTCTGTGAATGATGACTTAAGGCCATGTAAAATAAGAAATAAAACCTTTGTGAAGATAATATAAAAGATGGAGAAAATGCAGTCCATTATCAGTCAGAGTTGCCTAAACAAAGTATTTGTAACTTAATAAATGATTATGGTGATATGGCAATTTCAAATGTTTTAAAGAGAATACATTAGTAAGAAGGAATGTGATCATCAAACAACTTTGCTAACATCATTAGCACTTACAGAAACTAAAAGGGTAACATCAAAAGAAGAAAAAGATTTTTGCAAGTTAATACACCCACTTCAAATACTGGATCACAGTTGCAAAGTGATATTGTCCAGGATATTACTTTTAAACAGTATTTTTGGTTACCAGGAAAGCACTATCAGATTACCTGAGAAAATTGATCAATCAAAGAAATCTATGTCAATTAAGGATCTGAATAACAGCATAATACTTTCAGATGCCCATTCAAAAATAGCTCCATTAAATCATGACAAACATTCATTGAAAGAGAATTTGGTGTTAATAAGAATGTGTATCTAAGAAATTATGGGAGAAAGGAAAAATGGATACCAGGTCAAATTGTTCAATGTACAGGACCTGTGTCTTATAAAGTTAAAAATAACTTGTGCAGATAATAAGTGTGAATCTATCAATCCCACCAAATCTGAACAGTTCACACCAACTCAGTTGTTCCACAACCAAGTTCTGTTGATATGAGTGAACCAAGTTGTCTGGAGTCAGAAAATGTAAATTCTGGAGTTAATGATTTAAATCCTAGACCTCCTGAGATAGAGAATCCAGATGGTCAGAATCTTGAGTCACCAAATCAAAAGCCACTGAGAAGGTCAAGCAGGACAATCAAAGTCCCAAATAAGTTAGACCTATGATTTTAAAGGTCAAGAGGACTTTGACATTATTGTTTTGTATTTTGATTATGTTGTAGCATATTGTGCATTGTTTGTAAGGATGTAATCTACCATAGTGTTCATGTTACAATATAATTGGTGATTTTAGGATACTATCAATTGTTCTATTGAGAGATGTGTTATTGTGTTCTAAGGGTAAAGGGATGTAATAGATTGAAATAATTGTGAGGTCAAGGGAACTCACTCTTCTGTATTAGTTATATTTATAATATTGTTATCTTGAGTGATGTCCCTTGTGTACTTCCTTCCGTCCTCTCTGTGTGTTACCATCGTGCTGTAGTTAGACCCAATAAATGTGTTATATACAACCACAGGCTTCTGTCGTCAATCTATTATAGAAATCACTCCCGGTTTATTTATGAATTTTTTTAGTACTTTACATGTTTTTATTTACAATAGAGTTACATGACTAAAAACCATTGCGCGCCTATCGAACGTGATGACGTGCTATTGAACTTGATGACGCGTGTGGAATAGTTGGATAGGACTGCCTACTAATATGGTCTAAATTTTAATTAATTCATAAAAAAATTAATTAGGCAACCAATTAAGTCAAATTGAATGTCATTATGCATTGTTTTCATGTCTTGACCCCACGTACCAACTACGAACCGTATCTGTCAGGTAGAAGTGCCTGCAATTTCGCTCGGCCGTTTCGATCTAGACAGACAGACTGACGACAGAGGAAGCAATTTAAATAAAAAGTTGTAATAATTTTTTTTTCCATAAAAAAACGGTTTAATAACAAGCTTTTATGTACTAATGCACTAAAAAGTAGAAAATAAATTATAGACTAATTATAGACTACTACTTAAATAACTATAAAGAAAAACGTGGGTCACTTTAGTATCTATTGGATACCTTTACTAGTGTTTAGGAAAAGGCTAACAAGACATAAGGCCGACACAGACAAAAGGCCGACATCAAAATCGCAGACTGGACATAAGACCTACAGATTATAAAGCTGACAGCCAAAAGACAGACACCGAAAAGATGTATAAAATGTTTTTATTTTAAAACAAATTGGCCTATGGAAGGTAACACTGACGTTACTAAGGGCAGATAATTATGGATATATATTGCAATCTATTTTAGTCCTGTAGGGTCTCGACTTGATCACAAACTATTGGAATTAAAATTAGTAAACATGGTAAAGCTTCTAATTTTTTTTGGAAAAAAAAATCGATTTATACTTAGGGATCTTCCATAAACGGCGTCACATTTCTAATGTGGGAGGGGTAGGGGAATCGAAATTTATGACAGTTCTTATGAAGGTGGGGCAGAAAGCGTCACAACAAACTTTTGCATTTTAAAAAGTAATATTAAAACCGAGTTTTAGTCGTGATTATTAAAACTTGTAGGCCTATAGGCCTAGGTACATTAATCTTCATGCTTTAGGTTTTCGTTGTCTCCCTCAGTTATCAGTAGAAATCATAATTTTAAAATGTTGAATTGGCCTCACCCCAAAGAGTTTTGTAAAAATCTGGCCGTCATGCATTAAAAATGGCGGCTTCCAAATTAAGGTATACTTCTTAAATTCATTTTAACTATTCCCTACTCAGTATAAAATCTTTACTAGATCTATAGATCTAGATTTATATGAGTATATGGCATGGTGCATTTGAAAATCTTAGCAAAGGAATGCCTGATGCCTATTGGATTAGGCCGCTGAAGTACACTTACTTCACGTAGGCCCTTTTTTAGTGACTTCACTTAACTAAACTTAGGCTAGTCTTAGGCCTAGTCAGACGTCACTTTGACTTAGATCTAGATCTAGAAATAGATCTAGATAGTAAACAACAGTTAGTACACTGTCAGTACACTGAGTACAGTTAGGTAGATTACGATTTACTCTTAGGTAAAATCACAATATATAGCGTAGGAAATTATTGGGTAATGTGCGTTGAGTTTCGGTAACATTCGTTACTGTTAAACCATAGTTTATTTGACCGTTGGAAAAAAATTAAGTCAAGTGCATTAAATTAATGTTTTAACTTAATTTAATGTTTAACTGACAAAAATTAGCAACAATTAGTAAATCTAAATATTAATAAAAGAGTGTAGTAATTATTAGGCCTACCTAATGTTTTTTTTTAAGAAACAGAAAAAACCTGCAGAAGATTTGCGACAACCAGCTCTAGTTCTATTAGTAAAATAAGTCGATTAGATTTACTAAAGTTAAAAGTAGTAAGAAGAACTAGAATAATGTTTAGTAGCAGCAATAATTAGCACATACACTTAAAATAATTAGAAATACAAAATAATTAGCAAAACAGTATTTAAAATGCAACTAAAATCAATTCTTGCACATTTTTAAACATAATGTATTAAAAATAATATGGCGGCAAATAAATGATGGTTTACAGTATTTCCGGTGGTTTCCGTAACGGCTCGACAGACTACGCCATGGTTTTACTGTTTTTTACTGCTGTACAGTTCCGGAATAATAACCGACGCTATATCGTGATTTTACCTACTGTTACATATCTCAGTATACTTAACTATTCTAGATCTAGAATACTAAAGAATAAATAGTAGAATTGTTACTGTTACTAAATTCAGGGTTCCCTTGCACCCGGAAACAGGGAATTTTGATAAATAGCCGGGGAATATCTTAAAAAACGGGAAATCTTGCTTCTCGAGGTTTTTTTTCCCTTTCGGGTGTCGCGAGATTTGAACCGGGTATAGGCCTATCCAATCGCCAGTCTCGCCACATTTCGTGACCTAGTTTTGGCGGTACAAAACTAGTCTCGCCGGTTCTCGTGGTGCCTCTTTACCGTTGATTTGTTTTCCGCCCATTACACAAGCGTACATGGTACATCTACTGCTATGCTAGCTTAGGGTTACCCAACATTGGCGTGACGTCTTTTTTTTTCAGGATTGGTTTAAAATTTAGTTTAGGCTGCACGTGATTTTTTTTGGCTTATTTGAACTCACCGTGTTGTCTAGAGATGGACCTAATTATACTTTATTAAAGGACTAGGATCACGCGCGAGTACAGTCTTGTTTAATGTTATCACCTATGTTAATGATAACCGTTCTAGCAGACTATTTCACGGACCAGTGGTACTGAATTTGTGAGAAACACATTTTTAAAAAAAAATTTCGTACGCCCCATTTGGGTGCAATTTGGCGACCATGCTATCCCTTGAGCGCTATGGCGCCAACGTTTGTTTTAAACATTCCGATAGACTTCAAATACAATGGGGCATTATAATCTTTCACTAAACTGAATAAGGCACGTTTTGCCGAGGCCCCAGTACAGTGCTATTTCACACCCAGGACTATCCATTGAGCCGATGGTGCCTATGTTCGTTTTAAAGAGTGTGATAGAATATGGATAACAAGTAGTATTATAGTCGTTCACTAAATTGAATCACACATTTTTAACTGCTTTTCTTAGCTGAAATTCTGACCCATAGATCAAGACTTTAAAATCTGTTTAATTCTTTCCAGCGATGAAGAGCTTCTTAGTGACCCTGCAGGAATCACATTCCAAAAACCATCTGAGGTAAGTATACATTTTAAGTCTTCATTTCTGTAAGTTGATAATTTAATTTATACTTTTAATGCAGCAGAACGTTAAAATACTTTTGTGAAAAGTATTTTATTTATATCCTTTAGCTTGATCTCTTGGGAGAAGATGGAGAACTTGATGAAGATGCCCTTCTTGGCATGGATGAAGCTGGTGCAAAATCTATTTCATATAATAGTGAATCTGTTCGAAGTATGTCTTCAAGGTAGGTAACTGCTGGTTGTCAAAATAGGGTAATGAATCATGGATTTAACTATACTTAACTCACATTTTTTAAAGCAGCCTAAGGCTATTCTAAAAGCATAAATAAGGATGTAGCTTAGCTGCTATCAACATGGTTAATTTTTGTTCGAATGATTATTCAACTATTAATTCCGAAACAATTTTTAAAATAAATAGGCCCTAACAAATTTCAGCTTACCTGGTCCACTTAATTTTCTATCACATGAACTAAAACTTTCAAACTACAATTATGCTCTTTAATAATCAGATTTAAATTTAACCATGGGCATCTTTAAGTAAATAAGACATGATTTAAAATTGAAAATAAGAGTATAACTAGATTATTACAGTTGAATCTATCTTAATATTAAAATAAAATTTTGTTTCCATTTTTGTTAAATTGTAAATTTAAAACTTTTTAACAGATGTTTATAAGGGAAATATTAAATTGCAATTAGACAGGACTTTCATTCTTGTTTTTGAGTAACATAAACATATAAGCTATATTAAATTATTAATTAGTGCAATAATAGCATGAGACTGCTTTAACTGCAATAAAACATCTGAAAATTTCCTTTTATTCATGGTCTGGTCTCATCCCTACTAAAAAGTTTTCTGTAGCCGATTTACTCATAGTTTGGTATATTTTCAAAATAATTTGCATCCATTTCTTTGACATGTATTTCAAAACTGTTAACAAATGATGCATTATAAATTTTTTTTTTTTTTAACGCAGACAGAGATCTAGAACTGCAACAGCAAACCAGGTGTGTAAAGAAATCTTTTATATGAATATATTTTTAAAAATTCATTGTATGTAAGAATGCATTTTGGCATTCATCATTTGTTGAAAGTTTTTTGTTTACAGATTTAAAATATTATGTTTTGTTTATGATTAAAGCTTTCAGAAGCCCAACAAATGACCATCGAGAATGAGCAAGCATTTGTGTTTGAAGAGTCAGACACAGCAGACCTTGAGCATGAGCTCAGTGTTGTTGGAGAAGATGAGGGACATTTCCATGTTTCTGGTCAGGAGAATATTTACCATAGTGAAGGAGACTACTCAGCCATGTACCAGCATGTTGATGGAGATGGTGCCAGTTTAGAAATGGCATCTGAAGATAATCTTCATGTTGCATTTACCTCAGACGGGTAAGTTACAGATAGTTCTTTTCCAGTAAAACTATGATTTTAATTAAATCTTAGCTGCTGTGAAGCTTATGGTTGCAAAACCAGAAAGTCCAGTGTTCGAACCCCTGGGCAGATAAACCTTGATAGCTGAGAACAGCTACCAGTCTAGAAAAGAAAACTCCAAAATCAAACTGCCTTGAAGTTTGTTCTTGGACAAAGGAAGCAAATCCAGAATGAAATCAAGAGTCAACGGGCCATATGGCACATAAAATGTTGACACATAATACTTAATTTTGGTTGAGTAAATCTGACTCCAACACTACAATTAAGAATGAAGAAAAAGACATAAATATTTCAGTGTAATGCTAATTAAAATTTTTAAACATAGAACTGTATTAGTTTAAATATTGGGTTTAATGTTGATATTATCACTGCAGAATAAGCAATCTTTTAAATAAACTGTATTACAACACAATAACCTTAAACCTGTATAAAAATTATATTTTAGCATCTTACCACCAAATGACATGGGTTATGTTGAATCACATGATGATCAAAGTGGATACAATGGTGAACAACAAAGTGTTTTTGTAGAGGAAGCTGATGTAGGGTATGCTGAAAGTAACACAGATGGGACTATGTTAGAATCATCAGGTGTAGAATTGGGCTATGATCAACCAGTAGAACAAGAAGAACAGGTAAGCTTTGGTTTTAAACACTATTATGTTCTTTTCCTATTGGCCACTTGAAAGAATGCTCTGGTTTACTTTTACTAGAGCAGATCTATTAAGAGGCCAATAGAGTGAGGTAATATGACAAGTGGACATTTAAAATTACAAACAACAGCCTTTCAGTTTTTAATGAAGATGTTTTCTATTAGGTGCATCTTGAGTATGGTACACCTGAAGATAGCAGTCATAATGAAACTGAAGTGCAGGAGCAAGTTGAGGTAATGCTTAAGATTGCTTTTAAAAGGTTATTGCATAATTATTGTTAAACATAGTTTCAGGAAATGAGTATGTTGTATTGAGCACATAAAATACTGATGATTTTTTTTTTCTGTCTTCTGATTCTCTAAATTGTTCTTTATTGTTCTTATTGATATTTTTAGGCCACTGAGCATTTTGAAAGTGAGAGCGAAAGTGATGAAGATAGCTCAAGACATGGGAGAGGAAAATTTACCAGTGAACGAACTGGTGTCATTTCTCTTGCAGCTGCACCTGCCAGAGAGGCAATACCTGACACACTTGGTTAGTGCTGTAGTTTAAAGTCAAAATTTATTCACAGTTCATGGTGTCCTCTACAAAATATACACTTTGTTTTAATCATAAATAATTAATCTTAGTCTCTTGCCTCGTATGCATTTTTGTTTTGAAGACAAACAATATATTTTTCAGAAATCAATGAAGAGCAAGCTGCACAAATTGAACAGTTTATGACTGACAAAAATACGAGAGGCAAACATAAAACAAGAGGCCAAGGACGGCTGAGTGTGCACAGCAGATTGGGTACAAAGCCTGGGCCGATGAATAGTATTTTACAAGGTCCCCGGATGGTAATGTTTCCTAGAGGAATGGTCTCACAGCAGCACATGCGAATGGGTCCTCAGTTTCAGAATTCACAAAATAGAGGCCAGTTTCCTGGTATGATGAATCAGAGAGGGCCATTTCCCTTGCGATTAATGAATCAGCGGGGAGCTTTCCCCCAAGAACAAAGGATTCCCTTTCTTGGTGGGCCAAATAACCAAAGGCCTTCTTTTCCTGGAGTACCCAACTTGCTTTCAAATGCAGCACAAAGGACTATGTTTTCACCCCTTCTTTCAGGGAGATTTCCAGGCCCACCTAATCAGAGAGGACAAATTATAGGTCAACAGCAGAGGGGACCCATTTTACAAAATCAAAGAGGCCCAGTGTTTCAACAAAATTTAAGAGGTTCACAAACAGGGCCGCAGTTTAGAGGTCCTATGCCTAATCAGGCACAGGGACCTCAGAGTTTGTTCAACCAAAGAATGCAAAACTTGTCCCCAATGAGATTGCCAATGGGTCAAAACATAAGAATCTCTATGTCCGGCGGTCCTGGCCAAAGCCCTAGACCTTTAATGGGATCTAATAACCAGATGAGGATGAATCATCCTGGAGTTACACCTTCACAGGGACAACCCATCCCATCTCTTGTTAAGCCAGTATCAACACCTCCCCAGTCTCTGATGAATCTTCAGCCAGGAGAACCACCAAGGTTATCTCCGCATCAGCGACTTGGGAGGTTGCAAGTTCAAAATAGACAGTCCCAACCTAATGGTCAACAGGGGCCTGGGTTTTTTTTTAGAGCCCCAGGCCCTGGAATGTTGGGTGTGGGTCAGGTAGGATCTCAGTTTCAAGCACAGAATGAAATGCAGATGATGAAAAAGCATAAGATATATATCAATCCTCGCTTCCAAAACAATAATGTTAGACCTCAGGTAATTTTTATTTCTTTTTAGTATTATGAATGTTCCATATTTCAAAATATTTTATATTTCATCCTTATTTAACTTAGGGCTTCCGTTGCATTTTCTATTGCGAAATGGAATCTTGAGATTTTTTCTCAAACTATTGAGTTCTTACCTTCTCCTAATACTTACAATTCATAAGATTGACTACTTAAAATTATTTTTTTCTTTTAGAATCCACAAAATTTTCAAGGAATAACTAGAACAGTAAAAATGGGCATCCCTGTTCAGATCAAAAAGTGAGTTCCAACTGTTTTGTTAGTAAAAAACACTGCTATTGTGGCTTAACTTTTCATAAATATTTATTGCTATAAAATTAGATAGAACATAGTTGAGCAGTAAAAAAAACTCTGTTGCTAACCCATAAATCATGAGTCAGTAGGATGTGCTGAGTCTTCCAGCTCAGGTGGACATTTTATTTGAGCTAGTAAAGTACAGTGTTCAAAAGCTGGCCAACTCAACATCTTGAGTTTTTTCTATTAACACACCATGAAAATATTTTAAATCTTTTTTTTTTCCATAGAGCAAAAGCTTTATTAGACAAAGCTAAGCAGACTCAGATGAAACAGGTATCGCAAACATTAGGTGCTAAAAGAAAATCTACTGGTGGAGATGATGTGCCTGCTAAAGTTTTCAAAACTGAGCTGAAAGCAACAGACCAGGAAATTAAAGAGGATAGTAAAGTTGTTCCAGAAAAACCAGAGCAAGTATGTTCTATCAATTGTTTTACTTTACGTTTTATTCTTTCATTCTATAAAGATGTTCTATAAATTAAATGGCAAACTAAAGCTCTAAACTTTAAACTACTTAGGAGGAACCTATGGATGAAGAAAGTCGTAAACTGCATGAACTTCTAGAAGAGCAAAGAAAGCAAAGAGAACTGATTCAAAAAAAGAAAGAGTTGGCAAGGCAAAAACAAGCAGAAATAAAACGTAAAGAACTGGAAGAAAAGCTGAAACAGGAAGGTTTGTTTTGAATATTTCATTCTTTATTGTTTAAAAAATCTTAATTCTTAAAAATTATTTGCATTGTAATACAATAATTTTTATTTTAAGTTACCTTTAAAAGCCCTTCTTTAAACATCAGTATTGGTTACTTCCTATGTTATTTGTCTGTATTCTTCCAATTTTTATCTGAATGCATTGGTATGGTTAATTTAACTAGTATTTAACTGTTTATAAAATAAAATAGAACGTTCAATTCTGATTTTTTAAATTTACTTTTTCAAATTGAAATAGAATGTACAATGCTGAGTGTTGGTTAACTATTTTTTCAGGTAAGACAATTGATGATATCTTGGGGAGCACAGAGTCTCCAGAACAACAGGAGCAACAGGCTAATGCTCCTGCCAAGCCAATAAGTCAGTCTGTAGCAGCTCGTCTTGGTCCACCACCTAGTCACAGGAAAGAATCACTGACATTACAGCAACAACGTCCACCATTTCAGCAACAGAGACCCGTTATGCACCAGCATAGAGGTCCACCACAACAACTCTTTAGAGTTGCAGCCCCAAGAGCTAGTGCTGTGGGTCCAGCTATGATGCAGAGACCTCTAATGTCTCAAGGAAACTCTCAACAAATACAAAGATCTTACCCTAATCAGCCAGTTATGATGGTACAGTCAGAACAGAGAATGAGAATGCCCAATGATGCTCAAGTTCGGGGACCAGCATCAAATACCAATGTACAATATCAAGGGCCAACTATGGGAATGCAGTTCAGAAATGTACAGCAGAACATACAGTTTAGATCACCTGCACCTTCAGACCCCAGGTTTATGAACCCTGTTAACAATTCTAATCTTAACTTCCGGGGACCTCCGCCTACTAATGACCCTAGACTTAAAACACCATTTCAGCCAACTAATGTTCCAAGACCAGCTGTCCCCAGACAGTCATCTACATTTTCTGCACCACCACCCACTGCTACTCAGAATGTGAGATACCAACCACCCCACTCTGCACCCCTTCAAGCACCTATTCGAGCACCCCCACCTCAGCAGTACTCATCCCAGCATGGCCCAGCTAGTGCTCCTGTCTCTAAACAACAATACCATTACCCCCCTGTTAACCAGCCACCTCCAGTGTCTTACAGCTCAACTCAGTACTCAGCACCACCATACCAGCCCCAGCAGAGCCAGCCGCCAGTACAGCAGCAGCAGTACCAGCAGTATCAACAACCTCCTCCAAGCTCCCAGCAGTATGCTCAACATACAAACCAATATCAGAACTCAGCAGATCCAAATTACCAAGGCCATTTAATAGCCCCACCTGACCAGTACCAAGCCCCACAGCCTGTACATCAACATCCCCAACAGTACCAACAGCAGTACCAACAGCAATACCAACAACAGTATGACTATTATGGTCAGGGACAGCCATCTCATACGGTTCATACTAACCAGGTAACTAACTAGCAAAATTTATCAAACAGTTCCATTTCAACCATTTCTTTTATTGTTCAGTCATTCGGTGTCATTTGTTTCTGCATGTTATGTTTAGTTATGTCTTTCAACTTTTTAAATATAATTTGATTGCCTGTATCAAAATACCATCCATTGTCTTTATTTAAAGGCACAACCCAGTATTGTTTATGATCAACGTACTGTTCAACATTCACCTGTGGGTCAGCCAATACAAACAATAGGTCAAAGAATTCAACCAGTGACTGGAACACAGATGAGATCCATCATCCATAATGTGGCAGTGTCAACACAAAATACAGCTCCACAAAATTCTTCTGTTCGTTTAGTTCAGACACGTTCTGAAGGGAATCGGGTATACTGCTTGCAACCTATCGCATATTATTTCTAGTTTTTATATTGCTAACGTTGTTTTTCTGGGTTTTGTACTGCATATTTTAAAATAAATTTCTTAGTTATAAAAGATTCAATTTTCTAAAACTAATAATAATTTATGTTAAGTTCAAATAACTTTTTTTTCTCTTATGTTCTTAAGTAAATATGAATAAAATATATTTTGTTCTTTGTATGCATTTTACTCTGTAATTTGAGACAATTTTCCTTATCAAAAGTTTTTATGCCATTTTTGTAATTTAGGCTGTAGTGAGCGGTCAGGTACCAGTTTTAGATGGACCTCAGAAGGTTGTTATAATGAATGTTCCCCAGCTTGCCACTAGGGAAACAATAATCAAAATTTGTAGGCACTTTGGACAAGTTTTAGTGAGTACCTCATAACATTTTAAAATTACAAGATATTTTGACGGTTTATTTTTAGAAAGTAAAGATTTCAATAAATTTTTTTTAAAAACCAAATCAAAATACGTTGTTTGTTAGGGTGTCAACCTAATAAGAGAGCAAAACAAAGCAATAGTCCAATTTCAGAAGGGAGAGCAGGCTGCAAAATGTGTTGGGAAATGTGATCAGTAAGTCAATTTGTTTTATTTACTTGTTGAATAGTGACACACAACAAATCAATTATTTTAAAATATAATGCTGATCCTATTCATTTTGAAAAATAAAATCTTCAACTTGCTAAATTTTTATCCAAAATATTTTATTTATTGCAAAAAGCATAATTAAAATTGTGATTATTTATAGCAATTTATAAGTAACAACTTTAAAATTACTTTGTTTAAAAATAACATTGTTCCCCTTTTAGGAAATGCCTGCATAAAACAAGACTGACAGTGAGGCTTTTGCCAGGATGAAGAAAAACTTCTGAAATCTACATAAAAGAAACTGGAATAGATAAATATTAAGATTTTAATGTTATTGTGCATTTTGTAAAGTCATTTTTATATAATTTAAGGATTTATTTCAGAGGGTTTTGGCCTGCAGGTAAGAGAACATTTAAGCTTATTTTTTCACAATTACAATTCTTATTTTGGAGTAAATTTCTGAACTCTAATTCTGAACAAAGTCTGTGTTTTTTATGCTTAATTGTCTTGGTTTTAACTATAAAAAGAAATTAACCTTTGGTCTTGTTTTTTATAGAGTAATTTATCTGTATGTGTATAAATAATTATAAAAGAAACTAAAATGCAAAAAAAAAAACCCCAAAAACTGGAGAGTGGGGTACAAAGAAAATCATATTAATTTTAAAAAAAATAATTCATGTTTGATTTTTCTGTCCTTCATACATTTTTCTCAAGGTTGCCATTCTGCATTTCAAATTAAAACACTCATTCAAAACCCATAGTTACAAATTAATTGTTTTATGTTGCTTAGCTCAGACATTTTTCATCATGTTTTTCAAACCTAGACATGGTCACATTGTTGTTTTATTGAGATCATCCTAGCAGTGTTTCTTCCAGACTTTTTTCTCCGGGGGGGGGGGGGGGGGGCACTTGAAATCTTCGGGGGGGGGGGGGCGGTAAACTTTCTTCGGGGGGGGCGGACACTGTTAAAAGTATATATTTTCTATATAAATTATATAAATTTCATTTCGTTCGGGGGGGGGGCGGTAAAAATTTTTCGGGGGGGCTAAGCCCCCCCCCGAAGAGATGCCTGGAAGAAACTCTGCATCCTAGTAAGAAAAAGGTAGTTCTTGTAACAATTTCAGGAACAAGTTGATTTTAGACAGTAGTCTAAAATAATTTTACATGTACATTTCATTCTTTTACATAGTTTAAAGTTTTGAAATTGAAAGCTACCATTTCAAAATATTAGTTGCTTCACTAAAGTGAAAGTATTTTCTATGTAAATTACTTATTTCAATTACTGAAATAATTATAATATTAATGCTTTGTTTATTTTTTACATTTACATCTTTATTCTGTAAGGTACATCAAAGGTTAATTTACCATAAGAGGGATTTACTTCACAATTAATACATTTGGTTATAAAAAGATCTTTGTAAATGATCTGATATAAATGTTTCACTATATTAAAAATAATTAAAATCTGTCAACAATTAATGTATGAATCATGATAGTACCATGAAATGCAATTTATTCTTTGATTGTATTTCTCTGTTAATAATCATGTGTGTAATTTGTGTCCAAAAATTAATTGGGGCTAATCTTTTCATAATGCATTTATTGTTACATAATAATAAATGTTGAAAAATTAGTTTTTAAAAAATAGGTTTTATTATAAAGCTTTTAGATTTAGTATATATAATATATTTAAATTGCAATTATTGATATTTATTGAAGTGCTTATTTTAAAATTAGATTATAGAAAATCCAAAATTTGTAAATACTTCCCAATTCATTTACTCTATCTTAACTGGGATTTCTTCCATATTTTCTAAACAGCTGAACCCACATTTCTACTCCCCCTTTTTTAAGTAAATGTTTTACTCTTCTAAACAGTTGCTGTAAAATTGTGTTGAATAAATATTGTTTTTTTCTTACTAAGCATTTGTTCTTCACTTTAGATGTAATATAAGATTATGAAAACAGTTGTTAACTTGTCTGTAATTGTTCACAAATTTCTGTATTAGTGTAAAAGAAAGTAAACAAGCTGGCTGTGATTTTGGTTCAAAGTTTCATATGTGTAAAAAAAAATTGTATTATCATATTACTAATTTGAAAAGTATATTTTACCAGATACCAGTTTTTCAGCTTATTTGTATTGTTAGGACATACAAATTTTCACCTCCTTTGCCTGATTCCAATTCTGCTGTATAGTTAGCTAGTATTAAGAATAGGAGTTTAAATTAACAATACTGTTTGCTTACAAGTTATTTTTAATATCTTTTATTGTATAAGTATCTAAAGAAGAAACAATTTTAATTAAAATATCTCTCTCAACAACTTACTTTAGAATTAAAAAAAAAAATTTGATTGAGATTTAATCTTAAGAGGAAAGCTTAACTTTTTTTAAGCATTAGGGAAAGCATTTTAAATGACATTTAAGGTCGTGTAAGCTCTAGTCAAATAAATAATTATGCTCTTAATAAATCATGAATTGTCCACCTAAACACTTGGATTGTGCAGCCTATATTGCATACACTTACATATTCATATTTATTAAAGCACACATTTAAAACAGTATTAACTTCAATTAAAAAGACCTTTTTAAAATTCCTTATCTGTTGTTTTAAGTGAGTCCCGCTAGTTTTAGCTGCATCATAGTTACCACGTATAAGAGTGAAGTTAGTAAAACATGTAGTTTTGAATTGGTTATGAGAACTGAATTTTTTATTACTACTTGTGCAGTTTGGTTAAAAACATCCAAGGTTTCTTAACAATTTTATTTAAGCACTCAAAGCTTAAAATAGCTTTAAAATTAAATTTATCCTTTAGTCTAATTATGACTTGGTTTTAAAAAAAATTTCTATATGATAATGATGATTTTTGAAAGGATTTCTTCTACATGGAAAAGACAGACGTCTCAGAAAAAACCCAGCATCTGATTTGAAGGAGAGCTCAACCTGGATACCACAGCCTTAGAGTTAACTGACTGATTGTTGAACAGAATTATTATTCTTTCTAAAGAATAATGTAAATTATTGTAATTTCATTGTATAATACTTTCTAAAAATTATTTATATAATATAAATTATGGTAATTTCATGAATAATGTTTCATGACATGTATTTGTTATAATACCTAAAGAATGTTTTAATGGAACAATGTAAATTAATTTAATGTAATTATTTACTGACAATACTTAATTGATTGTTCAGATTTTAAAAAATGAGATGAACTTTCTATTTATTATTTATAACTAAGAATGTTTTAATGTACAAACTTTATAGTATTACAAATGTGAGATATCAGTTTTTAGATAAACACATTGTGTAGCTTAATTTTATAAGCAAAATAAAAATGTGAATGTAGTTAACTTTATTAATATTTTACAAGCTTTTTTAAAAACTTTTTTCTAAATCTCAGCATAGCATTGTAATGTGTTATAAATTATTTTATTGTAACTGATTTGTTGATATATATTTTGTTTTGATACTTTACTTTTATTTTTATTTTTTGGTAATACTAATACTTATTTTTTAAATTAGTGGCAATAATTAAGTAAAAATAACATTCGTATTAGTTGGCCAAGTAATATTTTTACTTGTAAAATAAAGTGTTCAAGTTAAATAATGTGAATTTTTATAAGTAAAAGAATTATGGTAAGGTTGGGTCACATGCTTTCTTGTTTAGACCCATATTATATTATATCAGCATAAATGTTACTGTTTTTATTTAAACTACTAGTTGTATATAAAAAATGTAAGCTCATTTGTAAATACTAGCTGTGTACATTTGATGAGCAACTAATGTTAATATACAGAAAATGTAAACATAAATTTGGTAACATAAGCAGTTGATGAAAAGAGGTGTAACTGCATTCAATTGCTTTGTTTTAATTAACTTGCTCTCAGGGAAATGGACATGTCAAAATGTTGAAACATGATTAATTACTGTCTAGTGGATATTGCAGCAAATTGCTGCACAATACAATGATTTGTTTTAATAAAACATTTAAGTGATCTTATTTTTCTCTCTTTTTTTTATGAATACTTATTTTTAGTTACAAAATATTCAAATTTAGATGTTGTTTTTAAAATTTAAAACAAATTCCTTATTGATAATATCATGGATGATTAAATATCAGGATAGGTGTCTTTTATATTACAACACTAGAGCTATTGTCAAGAATTTTAGTATGGCTTACTTAGCTATGTATGCTTAGGATAAATAACCTACCAATCAACTCCCCTTTCCCCACGCCCCCCCCCCCCCCCCCCCCCCACTCCTCCAATTCATTAATTCTAAAGCACTACCAGAATCCTGATTGTGTATAATATCCACGATAGACCACACAGGCAAATGTGATTCGGGTACCCATCACAGCTGGGTAGACTCAAGGATGCCCAGAATTCAAACTCGAGGCTTTCAGGTTAGGATTCGTGCGCTTCCTCTCCGACCATGCGTCCCATGACGCTAGTGTTTGGATGTCATTTTTTCTTTTCATTTTTATTCCACTTTCGCCAAAAATGTTTAACAACGGTAGTGTAGTATCAATTATTAAGATCTTTCACCGACCATTTTAACCTCTCCGTATGGGAGCCATCTTCTTATGGGTACTTGACTCACGTTATGGATGTTAAGGCGGCTGGGCATAGTGCTGACCAAACTATCCTTTCGTATGCCTAGGTCACACAAACAAATGGACTCTACTTCACTTGCCCCGTGAATCGTGAGCTACGAAAAGGGAACGTTACTGAGGATCTACTGCAAATCGTTTCTAGTATGTAGGCTTTACGTGTTTTGCCTCGTGGAGTGTGATGATAATAGCATTTCAAAAGAAAACTAATCAGCCTCAGCAGTCAGTAATTCTTATCATATGAACAGCAAAGCAATACATTATTATAAACAACTTTTCAATGCGAAACAGTTAAAAAGAGGTAAGGTGTGTAGCCTTATTTTTTATTTTTGTCCTTGACTAAAATTTGATGTATAGAGTGTATATGTGGCTATCGGTCAGCTTGATTAATTACACTGGACTAGGTCAATCACTGTAGTCTAACTTCTGTAACACAAAAGTAAAATTTGGAAGCTTTCATAAACTATTAAACGTAAGACTAAAAGACAGAAAAAGTCACAATCATACATTCAGGTCTTTCTGAATGCCATCCATGACTGACAATAAAAAAAAAACAGACGCTGGTAGAAACTGAAGGTTAGACAAATGCGCCGTTTTCATTCAACTCTATGTACTGATTGCTAATAAATTTGTGTCTTATTAGAAGGAGCTGAGGTCGGAATGCAGCTCAAAAACTATTATTGAAATATCAAACATAAATAGAAATATATTCCTGACTTGCATGAGGCATGTCAACTTCATGTTGAAAAAAAGACAGGTGAATATGGATTTGTTACTGCACATTATACTTCTTCGTTCTTAATTGTAATAGGGAGGCTTTTCTCGTACACAATTAAGTATTATTTGTGTTATGCGCCATACGGCCCATTGACTCCCGACTTCAGCCTGCGTTTCGTTCTGGATTTGCTTCCATGGTCTTTGGACACCTAAGAACAATCTGCAAGGCAGGAGTTTTTGATTTTAGTTTTCTTTCCTAGTTGTGTTGGTAACTAGTCGGGACTTCTGGACTTTAAAAATCATACGCCCTCCCCCCCCCCCCCTTCTCAGACCATGCCGTCCATGATCAGGGTACATAATCCGTTAACTTACGTCTGCATGCAGGCATACGCCTAGAAACCCATAGGATACCGGATATTGGACGATCACTAACACAAAGCAACGAAAATTGGAAACAGCACAAAGGATGAATGTGTATCAGCTGAGAAAAAAAGATCAGGACATTTTATATGGTGGCCCAACCCCAACATGTTTGATTAGTAGCAAACACATATAAATTATTATAAACCTATCAAGGGGCTTAATTCATGCAGGAGAGATGACACACATACGCTTAAACGATGTTGCTCACACATGCGTTGAAGACAAAGAGGGAAGTCACTAAAGATTCGGCTATTATTGGATAATATAATACATGATAAGCCATGGCGAATACGACCGTTGACATCGAAAAGTTTGTAAAATGCGAACTTTTCTCTTTTTACTAACAGCTAGAACGTGCTTAAAATATTTAGTAGAACATTTCTGAAAAAGGCGCTACAGTCTTCAAAATGATCGAAGTGCCCTTTCTATCTGGCAACTCAAACAAGCTACACCAGAGGCGTAGCGAGGGGGGGGGGTGCGGACCGCACCGGGTGACACCATTTAGGGGGGTGACACCAAGGCAGAAAATAGCAAAATATATCGAGAAAAATGACAATTTCACGTAATTAAGTGATTAATTCGAGTGTTAAATAGTCTTTTAAGAGGGGTGCAAATCGAAAATTTGAGGGGGGGGGGTGGTGCACATCGAAAGTTTGAGGGGGGGGGGGGTTGTCCCCGGCAGGTCGCTACGCCTCTGGGGGATGCCACCATTAAGTGCCGCACCGGGTGACACCCGACCTCGCTACGCCACTGAGCTACACGATCCCTAGTACGATTCAAGTTCAAGACTTGACTTACTGACTAGACTATCTCCTTTTTACACATTGTGAAGCCATTATCGTCGACTAGTTCAAATCCCCGGCGTGCATTTTGCCGTCTCCCTGGAAATCCCTGCGATCTTTAGTTTACTCGGGAGACTGCGCCTCCAGTTCCACTCGAGCGCCTGACGTGTCATATTTGTATGTATCTTTCCCAATGTGTGCCCCCCTCCCCCCCCCCCCCCCCGAGCCACTTACTCCTGATCTGCGCTGCCAAAGGCCCCTGCCATGTTCTGCATGTGTCTGTGTTCAGCACTTTGATCCCAGGTTTATCTGAGACATGTGTTAATGAAGGTCTGCATTTTGTCGAACGAACTATCAATTTTCTCCCTCCTCCCGCCCCTTTATACATGTAGTTAATCAAGTTGGTGAAAAGCGCCCCCCCCCCCCCCCCACCTTCTTAGTTGGAAAGGTTGGAGGCGCTTTTTAACAGTTACTATCCATCCCGTATAGGTTTTTTTTATTGTTGTAGCAACCGATTGATGTAGAGAACATTTAAATCAGTGCGTAAAGACTTTTACTTTCTTAACTTTAACTGTGTATAATTCAATACCTAACTTGAGCCTTAAAATATTTTTTTTACCCCTTTTGACGCCCCCTTAGGGTCGGCGCTCGGGACAGCTACCCCACCCTGCTACGCCACTGCCTTCATGTTTGAATTAAGAATCCAATTCCTTCTTTTTTTAACTTTTGTTCTGTTGCTTCTTCTTTGCAGATAGCTTCATCTTCATCTTAGCAACATCGAGGTGGCGATCAAATCCTATGTCGGATCCTCAATTAGATGCCACATCCTTCAGTAAAATTTTCAGCGACATGATCAGTCTGGTTGTCTGTATTATAATATGGTGGTATCTACATGGTCTTGTGATAAGCTCATTTGGGTATGTAATGGGTTTTTGTTCTCATCTCCTTAAATGTGTGTTGTCTCTGCCTAATTGTGGAATTTAAGTCTCCCGTGAGGATCTGCATGTCGCGTTTAGGTACCTCATTAATCACAGACTGCAGCTCTCCGTTTAAACCGCCTTTCTCCCTCTCCATAACATTCTTGGAGCGTAGAAATGATGATGAAAGCCTTTTGAAACCTGGATTCAAATCTAATGATGCGATCAGGCACAGGTTCCCATTCCATAAGGCTTTTTGGTGCCCCTTTGTTAAATACAAGGGTACATTTACTTTATGTGGGCTTTCCCCATTTTCTCTGACCGAGTTTTGTTCCCAGTCTGGATCTTCGTTTCTCAAAACTTGTTTAGCACAGGCCATGCACTGTAAGATGATATTGTTGAGGATATATTTCTAGCTTTGGGACTTCCATCCGTTTTCCTCAGTTGAAAAAGGAGCGTCGGTCTTTAGGAGCAGGAACACTAGTGTTCAGAGGGGAACACAAGCTATCCCATTAGAATGGTCAACCGTCAAATTCAGATACATCTTTCGAAATTGATCATTTTGATACCGCAATTAGATTGAAGGGGAGATAATGTCTTTTATTATTACATAGTAAATAAACATAAGAGTAGTCCTGCTTTTTTCTGCCTATCAACCCATCCCGTATTGCATGCCGGGTAAAATACTTTACTGTTCCGCCATTTTGCTTCTGTAAAGTTTGTATTTTAATCAGGAATCGAAAGCCCTTCCTCTTTTTCACTTTACTTTTATTAAGTTATGCACGCTATACTTTACTCGTAGGCGCGAAATCTAACAATGAGTGGAAAAGACGGTAAACGAGCTAAGGGGCGCAGAAACCAGTATTCTCATTCTAAGAATGCGACGTCGACTTCCTCCGTACAGTCCCGTGTTGGTGCCTTTGGCCTTGGTGTATCAGCTCCAACTACTCCTAACCCATTCAAACCATTTGGAAGCAGCGTTACTATGAACGTAAATGACGTTGCAACAGAATTTGGATTTACTTTGAAGCCTTCACAAGAAGATGCCATGGTAATATATTTTCTTCTTAATCGATGCTGTTTATAAATGTATTGTCATTGTTTTTTGTTATTCAGTTTTTTAGGCCTAGACAACATTTTCAAGTCTAGATTCTAGTCAATCTCTCTATGCCTATTCTCTATTGACCTAGACTAGTGATGTAGTCTCAGTATCTACTATCTAGATCTAGATCTAGACTCTATTCACTAACCTAGAATTGAAGATCTAAATCTAGAAAATCTAGATCTAACCGAGAAGACTTAATCTACTTATTTATTATTTATTTAAAATTTAAATGAATTCAAGAATTAATCAACAGAGAAAGTAAGTTGTCTTCATTGATGCAACTCTGCTAACACTACACTAATGCACTTAGTGACTTAGTGTTAGTAGGCTAACACTAGCATTAAATCATTAAGATGTTTGTATTTTAATATTTATATATACAAAACAATCAGTTGTAAATGTAGTAGGCTAAATATAGAAAAATAGATCTAGATTCTAAGCCTACTTTAGTACTTTACTCTTAGTATTTAGTCATAAGACTTAGGCCCAGTTAATAGTTATTAGCCCAATCTTACACTTATTAAGTCCTGCTTAATATTCAGTTATTGTTTTATCGTATTTAAAAAAAAACCCTGCATGCTACACATTAGGCCTATTTATTATTATTTTTAGGTTTAGTCAGTTTAGAGCCAGGAATGTCTGGAATTACTTTGGTAATGATTAGACCTAGTTAAATACATTATTAATTCTGTGCACAGAGGACACTACCTACTGGTTGAATAATGACAACCAGATCTATTATTCTTAAATAATTCTGTAGAGAATTCAAAGAAATTGGGCTGTTTGGTCTTAATAGTTTTTACTTAGGTTATTGGGCACTGCTTGAGCTTGAAACACCCTTAATTGCTTTAGTAAGTTTTGGTGTGATGTGTTGGATGTTCAATGTAGCTATTCAGGATTTGGGTAGTAATGCTAGCAAAAAGTTTTGTGTCATGACCTGCCAGTTTTCATAGTGTAACACTGAACCCATCAACAATGTCCCACTTTTATTAGAATTTTCCATTCAACTTCATTACATTAATAGTAAAGATTATGCTATTAATACTTTAGTACAATTTTAGGTTTTTCAGTAAAGCATGTTATTAGGATCCTTGTTTGCAATTGCATAAGGGAAAGCAAGTTCAAAGTACTAAAATTTCTGTTTATAAGCAGAGTAAACTGGTATATTTTCTTAAGCCTATGATTATTAACTAAAATTATATGTATTTTAAAATCTATTTCTTAGAGAATCACAGAACTCATGGATGCTCCTGTTGACTTGGATATTCCTGTACATGCCATTAGTCGAGGTCCTAATCCTTATCTTGATAGGTGCATGTATTGTAATACTCCACGTACCACATCTCAAGATGAAGATGATGGGCTGGAGCTTTTAGGTATGATCCCTTAAATTGTTTAACAACAGTTTAAAAACATAGTTAAATATAAATGATATAGTTGTAAGTCTATTTTATTATGCACATCTTTTAATATATTTTCCAGCATTATTGACTATTTTTTATAATTTAGATTTCTTTTCTTTTCAGATCTTCAGCTGGATGGTAATACTGTAATTAGCAGCCCTACCAATCCCCAGTCATATAGCTCGGTAACTATTATAAATTACTGTTACCTTTGCTTTGTTTAATAATTAATAATACAGCTAGAACAGACTTTTTTTTGAAATTATATCCTTTGTAGTTTGTTGATAGTAGGTAACTGTAAACTATTATTATGATTTTTATCAACCCTTTCATTCACCCAATCCAAAACACCCTAAACAAATAATACAATTAACTACCTAAACCCTTATTTGTTGAATTTTCATTGTTGTAAAACAGTAGACTAGTTAAAAGATTCTATCTACATGTTTTTAGTTCTGTAATTTTTGTAAAAGTAACTTAAAGAGCTATATAAGCTACAGAACAGCTTGAATTTACCATAGGTTTCTGATAAATGCATTTATTTGAAATTTGCCACTTTATAACAATTTAGTTGGCTATGCATTTCACTTGCATAACAAAAATTAACTGTTAACAGAACTCTAATGGTATACCTTGCTTATTTATTTCCAGCTGAAGCTAGAAATTTGGACTTGTGTCAATTGCAGGAAAGTTGCAGGGAATTTTCAATCTTTTTTGGTGAGTATTGTATTAAATGGGCCAGACATACATGTTGTTTATGCTTGTTTCTCAGCAACAATTGTAATATAATTATTTTAAATGGTTATGTAAATCCTCCATAAACTATGAAGTGGCACACAGTGCACATAAGAGCAGCAATCATTTGCAAAACATAGTTCTGCAGCATTATAGATATTTAAATCTGTTTTTTTCATCTGTAACTTTTACACAGGAAGCCAACTTTCCTCAAGCTTCCTATGACTTACCATTTTTGCATGAAAGATGCATTGATCCATTATCATGTGCAAGATGCCAGGAAGAGCGGTATGAAAAGCATGTATATTATTTAATAAAAGAAAAGTTTCAACTGTATTCTACTATTAGAAGCTAAGCTAATGTAAATTTGATTAAAATTGAACTATTTATGATTGTATCTATCAGTGAGAACCATGAAAGAGAAACACAAGAGCTTCAAGAAAATTGGGTAGAACTGCGTTCAATTGTAAAAGATCTGTACAGTAGCAAAGAAGAAATAGTTCTTTCAGAAGAACAGGGTCAGAGACTTCAGTTTCTAGTTGACAAGTAAGTATATTTTAAATGCTGACTGTTAACTATTTAGTCTCATTAAAGTATATTCAGTTTTTTTCTTTAAATATGATGTTTGCAGGTTATGACAGTAAATATTAAATTTATTTTTAGACTTTGTAGTAGAGATCCTCATCAGCTCTTTCTGCGTCTTGAGTCTCAAGTTCGAGAGATAGTTATGGATATGAAAACAAGTTTGCTAAACAAGCTTAAAGAAAATGGCTGTGATACCCCTGAACTAGCTCTTGATTTCACCCGTTCGCTTCTGTCTCATTATGATTTACTAACAGAAAAATCTTGCCTCCTTGCTCGATATCTAGGGGGATTGGTAAGTCTGATTTCACAAATTTTTAACTTTATATTGTTTAAATGGACAAGCTTGATGAGTTTTTTCCTCTTAAAGTTAACTAAAGAACTTTAGTTCACAAGCACTTTTTTGCATCTTGCAACATACCAGATGGCAATCAGCATAAAGTTGCCTTTTTTATTGTACACATGGTCTGTAATAGTTTATTTCATTTGTGGAATCTAATGTTTACAATGGTAATGATTGTTGATGTTTTTGATGATGGATTTTTAGCTTACTATTTTTTTTATTCCAGCACTGCTAAGTTATTAAAAAAACTTTTAAGACATACACATTCAAATTACAGAGTGAGCATCTAAGACGTTTTAAGGTGACATGGGAACTGTTAAATAAGCACCTGTTTCATTCAATAGCACACAATGATCCTGCCATCAGCAACAGTGGTCCAACAATACTAGAACATTTAAGGTTAGTTAAACATAGTTCCATGTATGTGTGTACCTCTTACTAAAAAAGTAATAGCTTATAATAATTGACTAAACTTAATATTTTGTTGTCTAGGCAAGGCTCTGTTCAGTATGAAAGATCTAAAGAAGATCCATACTGTTCTGTTAGAAAGCGTCTACTCAAGTTTCAGGAAGAAATGTCAGTGGTAGTTGTTGTTTGGAGAGATTGTCAACAGTTGATAGAAAGTTATTGTCAAGAGGAGGTTAAGGTATAATTTTTATTTCAACTTAATAAAACAGCTATAAATACTAGTGACTCTAATTTGCTGTATTTCACTGTAAGATCTATTGATAAAATGTCCAAAATAAATTAAATCAAACTTAAATTAATCAAACTTTTCCTACTTAAGAATGATTGATTAAAAAAAGTATGCTTTACCAATATTGAAACATTTTAAATTAAAATACTGATGATAATCCTTTCTGTCTAAATACCTTTTTGGATGTGCCGTTCGGAAGCAGATCACTTAAAATTATTTACCCAATAGTTTAACAAATTTTATTTACATTTAATATTTTCGTCTTTACAGAATACTCAAAAACAGGTGTCCAGTAAAGCACGCAGTTTTATAAATCAGCAGAGGCAGTTCTTAAAAGAACATCTAATGAAAGAGCCTCTAATAATGGACAAAGCATTATCTGAAACTATGAAAAACCTTATGTCAGGACACAAGACATCAACTGAGAAAGTACTATGCCATCAGTGTAAACGTGAGAGGTAAAGCAGTTTAATTTTGCTAGGCTATGTTCTTTTATTAAAACTAAGTTTATAGGTTTATCTGAAAAAAGTAATTTCAGACTAATATTTTCAGATTTTAACATTTTTCTAATTATATTAATAATTTAGCAATATTAATTTTAAATTTTCAGGTGTACATGTGATGAATGTACTATAACTCATATGATAACTTGTGGCATAATAAACAGTGACAAAGGGGAAATACCACCTCCACCAAACTCATTCAACTTTGCCCTAGACAGAACAATTAATATTATGGATCTCACGCCACCCTCCATGTCTAGCACAACATCCAGCAGTGGTTCTGTCTCACCCATCAATATTGAAGATAAGCTCACCACTTTTTACAACTGTGAAAGAGTGCTACAGTATGTTATTTTTATTTCTAAAAATGTTATTTTAAAGGAATTATTGTTCTTAACAAATAGTTTGAGTGTAATAAAAATAACTTTCCTAGGTTCCACCATGTGGTTAAGCATTACAAACCCTAATACACTTCTCTCCTTCCACAAACCCCACACCTTGCCTACAGATAACAAATATTTAGGTAGTTTTATCAAAGCATTTTTACACACATACTCATTGAGCTAACTGCTTTAAAAAAATGTTTTCTTTTTTTTGAAGTTGTTGTTCTGGGGTTTAATAAATTAATAATTTTTATGATTGTGCTTAAGCAAATTGGTGTTTAAATTAGATGAGAGTAATACGGTGAAAACCTATTCTTTCCCTATCAGAGAGGAATTCAGGGATGAATTTGGTGATGTTTTAATGAATTGCAATGAACGTGAAGGCAAGGCACCAAGTTTGTCAGAAGATGCAAATGATGATATTGATGATAATGCAGGAGATGATGAAGAAGAGGATGATGATGATTATGGAGATGATGATTCTACTGACAATCAAGATGCTGGTAGTGATGAACCTCATGCTTTACAGGTAAGGTTTGATTAGGTTTAAAAAGAACTATTTTTCAATTTAAAAATCTTACTTAAAATTTAATTGCATTACATTCAGACACAAGAAATCTAACATAATTTTTTATTATACAAGCAGATACCCATTTGTGAACTTAAAGACGATGAACTATGGGAGGCTATGCAACGCCATCACCAGCAACAACAGCATCACCAACATCAACACCACCAACATTTACTTTGTGATAGAATGAGCACCCAGCACAACTGTGTACAGTGTCATCAAGTGAAGCAAGATCAACAGTGTCCTGTAAGTATACCCCACAATTTTTTAGAAAAATTTAAATTGACTATATTTTTAGAATTTGATTTTTTTAAAAACATTATTTGACAATTTCTTCTGACTAAATACCTTAAAAATTAACATGTTAGAAATATTTTTAAAATATATGACATATATTTCAGTTTTTTTCTGAACAATAATGTTTCTTTAGTTTCAGCCAAGAATAGATCCTGAGTTATCTAGACAGCTAGATGCGGAACTGGCAAAGTCAGGTTTACTACCTGGTGGTGCAGGAGACTATGGAGGGGACACTGTGGCTGGATCTGGGGATAATACAGCAGATAGCCAGGGGAGTGGTGATAGTATGAACTCAAATGTTTGTACCACCTGTCAGTGTCATGCTTGTCTCAATCAGAGTGGGCAGGTTATCTCCACATCTTTGCCTTTACAAGTGAGTGAGGAGTTTACATTGTATGTCTACTTTCTTTACCATGTTTTTGTTGGAAACTTAAATTTGGTTTGTACATTATCATAAGGGTCAGGAATTGATTGCTCAAAATATCTGACCTCTTAGGATGAAATGAAGGTATTATTGCAATCTCAAGGTTGCACTTGACAAGTAGTGTTTTTCCTTTCATCTGAAAAAATGATTGGATGCATGACATTCAAATCAATATGATTGCTTGTCTTTTGGTATTATTAGAGACCATATTAGTTTTTATATATAGTTCATAATAAATTACCTGTTAGCCAAATTAATCAGTCTTAGGCATAGTTCTTGTGTGTTTTAGCTACTATTCAAATTTTAATTTGTAATGAGTGAATTTTGTTTGCTATTATTATCAGACTATTCTTAATTAGCTTTGCAACAGTTGCATTTCATGATTTTGTATAAACTAATTTTGAAACCTATTGTTCAGATGCCAGTATCACCATCACCATCTGAGCTACACTTGTATCCTCACATTCATGGGCTTCCCCAACATAGTCAACAGAGATACATGTCAGATCTGACATCTCAGTTAATGTCATCTATCAAACTGCCTGTGAAACTAGACTTTAGTGATGCACCTGGAATGCAGGACCATCTTTATCACGCATACAGGTTATTTATTTTTTTTCTTTGATAAAAAAAATTTTAACCAAGTTTTATTCAGGCATAATTTGGCTATTCTTACAATTACTAATGATACCAAATACATAGATCTAATACTAAATACATAGATCTTTTTTTAACACTATGTGTTTTAATTTTATATAATCAAATAGTTGATTTAATTTAAATAACAGGCCTGGCACTTAAAACAGTAGATTATGAGAATTTTGTTAATTTTTTTAGTGACTGGGATAACACCATGCCACACATAGGATCTCTTGCTGCTCATCATCACCAACAGCATCAACAGCGGCTATCATCACTGGCTACAGAGCTGCCGCATCCACCATTGGTTACTTCTGCATCTTTTACATTTGACTACGCTTCGCACCTGGCTACACACACAACAAACACTTCTACTACAAACACTACTAGTGCATTCAAATCAGTTGCTGGCAAACATTTTACCTCGTCAATCCTGCCAACATTTAACAATGTAGAAAACATGGCTTCTGAGGGAAGTTCTGTTGATCCTAGCAAGCCCTTAGATTTTGCATCAATGGCTAAAATTCCTCAGTCCTGTTTAAATTCTCTCTCGCCTGCTTCTTTCTCTCTCTCTCCATCTTTCACATGCCCTTCTTCTATAAACCCTTCTTCACCTATGCCTAGTCTGCCAGTGACTTCTAAGTCTTCAGGACCCTGTCATGGTCCACCTCATTGCTCTAGACCAGCTACATTGGGTGGCAATGCCACCTCTAGTAAATGGGAAAGAAACCTCCTCCATTGTAAGAAAACTGCTGGCTCAGGTTTCATCAATAAACAAATGTCAGGGGTCCAGGGGCAACAGCAACAGTGTAATTTAGGAGTATTACCTTTTGCTGGTGGATTGCAAACAGCCCAAACATTACCTTCTTCTCAAGCTTCGAAAAACCCTTTTCCTGCTCATCATCATAAAGATGAAGCTGTGCGACCAATCAGAGCGCCACTTCCTTGTTCTCACTCTTCCAACTCCGTGTCTCGGCCTGGAGGATTATCACCTCATACCACAGCAACTGTCTCTTCTACTACCAATGTACCTACAGCAAGTGGATCCAGTGCAAATTTGTCATGTAATAGCAGCAACAGTCTTTCTACTATGGTCAATAATATTGGTGTAGGAACATCCACACCATGCAATGATCCTGTCTGTGAGGCGCACCATCATGATGATAATTGTGACAGTGTTGATGATAGTTGTTCTGAGAAAAGTTCCAGCACCTCTACATCAAACCAAAAGGAAGGGAAATACTGTGACTGTTGCTACTGTGAATTCTTTGGCCATAATAATGTAAGTTATCTAGTTTTTGTATGTGTTGATTGTGAGTTCTGATTTCTAGTATTATTATTTATATGGAAAGTGACCCATTTATATTATGGAAGTAGTAAAGTGTTCATACTTAAATATTATTTGTTTTTATTCATTTATCATTTGTTATTGTGTTGACTATAATTTATTCTTTAAAAAATGTATTGAAAATAAGTATAAAATTTGGGATGCTGTTAAATGATTCTGAAAATATTCGATTAAGCAAGTTTTATTAAAATAATTTTTTAGTTACACATCGAAATGATATTTATGGTTTTCTCTCTTCTCTATTTTTTCAGACTCAGGTTGCAAAAACAAGTACAAACTATATAGAAATGAAAGACAGGCTGAGAAAAAAGTTAAAAAAAAGGGTAAGGAGCATTAAGCAAATTTAATAAAATATACTACCTGAAACTACTATTTGAAGCAAGGTATTAAATAGAAATGCTTATTGTTTTAATAATGCTTATTTTTTAATACTCTTTTTCTACTGAAATACTAAACAATTCTTTTTATTTCCCCTCATTCCCGTCCCCATTTTCTGTGTAGCAGAGCGAGAGCAAACATAAACAAATTGGTCCAAAGAATGGAGTTGTCCAAGAGACTTTCAAGGAGGATTTAAAGGATCCATTAGAAAAGAAAGGGCTTGAAGGCTTACTTAGTTTTATCAATGGAACTGATGATTCAAACCAAAACAAATGCAAAGAAAAAGAGCTAACTGCCAAAGCAGCAAAACGAGCTCGTCAGAAACAAAAAAAGGTAATTAAAAAACTGCATATTGAACTAATTTTTATTAGTCTCGTTGATCTTTTATCATAAAGTGTTATACAATGTGTGAGTTGCATAATTATAATAATCTAGAGATTAATCTTACTTCTTTACTGAAACAAGTTAGCACCATTCTCCTGTCTCTAGCTATAAATTTCTGGTGGAATATTGGGTCTCTTTCCTTATTTTCTTTTCTATTTTGGTGTTCATACAGTTAATAGTTACATGAATATCTAGTTTCTTCATTTGAGATAGTATTTGTTATAAGAGCAGTACTGTTGACTACAGTTAATAGTTACATGAATATCTAGTTTCTTCATTTGAGATGGTTAGAAGATTCAATTTTAGTTACAAGCAATTATTCTGAAAAGCTACTCTCATCTCTATTGCATTGGGTGTGAAGACACTAAGCACACTTTTGAATGTATATATTTTGGTAGTTCAGCTTTTATTATGACTCCACTTTCCAGATGTATAGATTCTCCCACTTGCTCTAGAAAAATACTTCCTTATAAAATTTATTGTTCTTGAATATATTTCTTCAAAAAATTGTGTGCACTCAATGTCATTCAAGTTTCTTTGTATAAAATAGTTTTTGTATAATTAAAAATAATGCAAATATGGGGAGATAGTTAAGATTAGGTGGGACAAAGCACAAAATGTGGGGAAATTGTTGTATACTTTCTATTATGACATTGGAACAAAACACATTGATGCCAGTTCAGCAGTAGATTTGCCATGCTGATGTAAACAATGTAAACATGTCTGAGTTCACTCAGTACAGCAATAACAATGTAATGTGTCATCAGAGCACTTTGTTGTTTACAACTGAACACACTTAAAGCTTAAAAGCTTTTTGGATAGCAGTCAATGTGTTGTGTTGCTTTTCAATGGTGAAAGGAAATTCAATTCATATAACACTGTTAACTAGACACACAATTTTTTGTGTGGTATTTGTTTGTTTGCTGAATAATATACACTGAAATAGAAGAAAAAAAACCAGTGTAAATCACTTGGTTTTTGTGGAGCTAAAACAAATTTTAGAAAAATCAAATGGTAGTATATTTAGTTTTAACTGTTTTTGAAACTGTCAGAATTTATTCCAAGATACAGGAGTATATTTAATTAAATTACAATTCAAGGCTGAAGTTGAAGTTCACTATGCAATGATGTAAAGTTTCTTTTGTTGTCAGCTAGTTGCCCTACACATTTAATAAGAGTATACCCATTGATTTAGAAATTTCAGTTACTTCTATTAACAACTGGCAATTAAAAATAAAATAAACTTGGCTTTGTGAAAGATGCATGTCTATTAGCCATACCCAATCATAGCAAGTATCAATCACTCATCTTCAAAGCCATCAAGTATTGTTACTTAAATCTGGGCATGTCTAATCCATAATTAATTAATCTAACCTTTCCTTATTGACTGTCATAAATCAAAGTATAGCATATATTTAAACCATAATAGAGGTGTGACAAATTTAGTTTCCTTTATTATTGTAGGAACTTAATAGGAACTTTCTGGTAGCAATCTTGCAGTGAAATTCTCAATTACATGACAATTGTTTATATATTTTATATTTATATATTAGTTTTCTTTATAAGCATAATTTTAATATGCAACTACTTTTTTCTACTTTCATTAGCTTGAAGAAAAAGCAAGACAATTTTCATTACCTTGTATATTGTTATATTAGTTTTCTTAATGAGCATAATTTTAATCTGCAACTACTTTTTTCTACTTTCATTAGCTTGAAGAAAAAGCAAGACAAGAAAAAACCTTCCCTTCTGAAAAAAGCCATCAGCTTGAACCAGAGAAAACTCTTAGACAGCTGTTGTTAAATCAGACATTAGGGTCAGAGTTTGATAATCAATTTAAAATGGCTAAACCAAAGTCCAAAAGAGCTCAGATGCTTTCTGAGAAAAAAGATATCCCTGTAGAAAAGACAGAGCAGTTGAAAGTGTCAAGTTTGCCTATCAAACAAGAAATAAATAGATCTTCCTTAATAATTGAATCTACAAGATCAACAATCAACCCATCTAAGGATCTAGCTAGTGCTCAGCAAAGGTTGTCTAACAATAATAGCAAGGATTCTTCTCAACAAATTCTTGGTGTTTATCAGTCACTGAAGCAACAGCAAAAAGTGAAATCCCAGTCTGATAATAATAACAGCACACCTAGCGTGCCCATCTCTCAAAACAAATCCAATGGGACAGTCAGTGGATTATCAGCCAAGGCTGGGCCAGAGGGTAATAAAAGCAATGGGACAACCAAGCAGCAGCCAGAACAGCGCCCTATTCAGCAGAAGCAACAAACTGTCAAGAGTGTCAATGGCAAAGTCTCAGCAGCTTCACAGCAAGTTGGGAATGGAAACCATGTGCTCAATGGTCGTGGTAGCCAGATAGATAAAAAAAGCCAGCCCCAACCTGCGCTAATGAATGGTGCACCAGTTAAAAATCAGGTTGTCTCCACCACCCCATCTGTACCAATTACCGTGATTGCTTCAAACAATTCTAAAAGTACTGTAATTGACAGTCCAGGTGCTGGTAGTGGAAGCTCAACCTCTCAGTCACCATCCTGTGGGACTAAAGCATCATCTGATCAGGTAAATAGATTTTTAAATTTAGCTTTAAAGTGCTTGATTTTAAAGTTCTATTGTATCAGATGTTAATGTGTTTTGTATTATTATTTTAGGAGTTTGGCATACTTTATTATATAATTAAAGAAAAGATGTAATATCAAAATTAAGAAGGAAATTTTTTTTAAAGAAATCAATCTCAATTGGGCTAATGAAATTTTTTGCATGAGTTTTGACAATTAAACACTGGGCTTTTTATGCAAAAACAAACTGTTTAAATGCTATAAATCCATGGTTTAATGAGTTAAGTTTTGTAATGAGTTGTCTAATTAGCAATTTTAAAAATTAAGACATGTTTTTAGCAGGGAAAATCTAGCAAGGCCAAGAAGAACAAAAAGAAAAACAAAAATGGGGATATAAATGGTGTCGGTAAGTTTTTAAAATACGTTGCTTATCTGTGAAAAATTTTTTTTTATAAAGTTTATCATGGAGAAACTAATTATTAAAAAAGTATCTTAATATTCTTTTAACAATAAGCAAGTGCAGCTCTATTTTAACTGGTTAAATTTGTCTCCATTGCAAACATTTTTTTGCCTAACATAGTTTCATTCTCTAGTTTTGTGACAAAAAAGTTAAAATGTGAGCACAAAACTAGAGATGTAGTTAAGGGCATGAGCGGGTGATGAAAACCAAATTAGCCAAAATGATTATTTATAAACCTAATGCTATCATATCTAGAATATAGTTATAGCTCTGAGTTCTTAGAACTGAATTTACTTTAGAGCAAATAGTCATTAACTCTATGCATCCTTAAGTTGTGCATGGTCTTGATTGTGCAAAATTGTAAAACTAATATTTACTTAGTCACTTTGTATTGAGTGTAATTTCTCATCTGAACTTTTTCAGATGAAATTTTCATGCCTAAATCAGAATCTGAATTAGATGGAGATGTTGATGAATTTGAACGTGAGTTGGAAGAATTTAAAAGGTATGTTTTTCAAAATGTTATCATTCAAGGATTTCTGGCTTTCGAATTCATACTGGTATCCCTGCTACATTGTATAATTTCAAGTTGTATACACACATTATCACCCTCTATCACCAGTGGATCTAAATAACAACCTTAGTGTAACTGTTTCGGAAGTGTGCTACCTACCTTAAAATGTTTTCTTTAGTTTTTAAACTAATTGGCTAGAATTTAATTCACTAATTAATGTAGAACAGTTGTTTTCATTATAGAGTTTTTATGTGAGATGAAGGTTTAATATTTCTCTCTGTCTCCAGGTTTTGTTTTGAACCTGCTGAACCAAAAGAGAGGAGAAAGATAGCTGTAAATGTGAATCTGAAGGATATCTTCAAGAAAAAAACTGGCTTGGTTTAAACATTGACACAATCACTTACATTGACAGAATATTTGATTGTGGTAACTTTTGTATCTATTGGTGTAATTATTTTGGAAAGTAGCACAAATTATGCATACAGTACCTGATAGTTTTTATTTCTTTAAGTGTAAATTGAAATTTAAGCAATTAAAAATAGTGCTTTAAATTAAAAGCACAACCTTGGTTGACAGTTGTGTTGTCATTTCAGTTTTTAAGTTTTGGCTTTGTATTTTTGAAATTTTGTTATTAGAACTAAACTAATACAAATTAAGAATATCAGATTTCTATATTAGCTAATTATAGAATCAGTTATTTTTAAGTTGTGAAATAAAGCTTACACAGCAACAAAAATTTTCGAAAACAAGAGCTGAAAATTTCAAGAGATCAATGAAAACAAGTATTAAATGTTTTTTATAGACTAAATTGATTACATTTACAAACAAGATAGCTAAATGTATATATTTCTAGTTAGAAAATTCTTTGGTATTAGATTTCATTGTTTTAATATTTTATTTTAATGTAAAAAAAAGATGCAATCAATTTTCATCCTTATACTTGTTTCAATTGATCGGCTAAGCCTCAAGTTTAAGCAATTGTTGTTTTAACTTAAAAAAGGTTTGTTTTTAAATTAAGCTGGTTGAAATGTTAAATTTCAAATTAGCTTCCTTACAAGAATGAAATGTTTTTGTATAGAGCAATTACCTAAGCACTTTCTAATACTTGTTAGAATCAGTATTCACAATTTAAAACTAATGATGCTCCATACAGACTGTTAGAAAACAAAATATCAGATTCAGATAATAGCAGTGGTGTTGGCACTGCTCTTGCACCAATAATGAATTGTTACTTAAATCTTGTAATGTTAATTGGCATGCTTTGAATTTGTGCGGATATATTATCCCTCATAAATATAACCCCTATTTCCCGAGAAGCTTTGCTCATTGATGAAAAACTGTACTGTCTTGGAAATGCTGGTTGTTTAAAATGGCATGATTCGCTTCTTATTGACTATTTGATTTACCGCCCTTTCACTCGTTACCCAAATTTGCTGTAGACTTCACTCTCATTTGATAGGGTGGTGGCGTTATACGTCCTTCATGCATTAACTATGAATTATTAATACATAATGTACTTTTTCACTTGTATCTTGAGTTGGTTTATTTTTTTAACTTTGTGTGTTGTAGTACAGTACATTTGTTTTCAGTTTGTTGGATCTATAGAAAAAAAGGCCTTCATGACTAGCCCAAAAGACTATCTTACACAATTGTGTTCTCATGGGTCCTATTTTCAGAAATAATTCCTCACTTAACTCTTTGGCCAAAAAAACTTACCCACTAGTACACACACATTAAAATGAATGATAAATTCCAGATGTACATGTATTTATTGGTATAAATATTTTTTTTTTTTTTTTTTTTTTTTTGTTTTGTTATTGTGGCATAATAGCAGTAAAATTGTCTTTATTATCACAGTCAAATCAAATTTCAGAAGAAAACACTGAAATATCTGTACTCTCACTCATCATTTAACAATAAGATTTAAACCGGTACTCCATGTCTTTTCTTTTTTCCAGTAACTCCGCATGCATTTTTTCAGCCTGTAACAAAACAAATGTATGAGAACTTAAGTAAATTGAGATCTTAAATCATCAGTTTTAACGAGACCAATGCCTGTGATAGAGATAAATCATCTTTTGTAAACAACTTAATTTTGTAAAAAGTAACCAATTATTTGTACAGAAATAGTCCATTAATGTATGAATTTTACACCTTTGGTCTAGTATTTGAGACAGAATAAAAAATATAAACTAATGATAGTATATTAAGATAGATTAAAATTGTTTACTGAAGGGAAGCAGAACATTCTCTTAAAAAAAATATAAATTTTTACTGAATAACAAAACAAAATACAAACTACAGCTAGATTCTATAACTGATTGTGTAAAAAAGAAAAACAGCAGCAAAATGCATTTTGTTACTAGAGGGAGCGAAACAAGTAGCAAAGAAGCCAAGCTAAATGGTAAGCAATACAATCTAACTAAAGTTCTTGTTTTAACACGTTTATGCAGTTCTGATTACACTGGCAGAAAAAATTGAAAAAACAAACTATGCTAAGAAGTTATAAATAGTATAAACAAAGTAAATGAAAATCACAAGAATACTTTTAGGGTAATACATTTTTTTCCCCTGAGAATTTAATTTAAAACTTGTGATTTCCATTTTAGTTGATGATAGTGAGGCTAGTTTAATGTCATTTAAATAATACAATGCTGACTATTTCTATGAGCTCTTCTACTCTCCTTACCATCCTATGCCTAAAATCTAAAACCTGCACTTGCTGGTCTAGAAAAATGATCTCTGTAATTCTTTGACCTGGCTTTGTGTAGAAAATGGACATGGTCAAGCCATTTTAACTACAGCTAAGCTTAACTCTTAATAACCTTTATATTGACACAGTTCCTTTTAAAGAACATTACTAAAAAATGTATAAGAAGTTTTCAAATGAGCTTTAAAAAAGTGTAAACAAATAATATAAAATTTTAAGATACAAACTGCTATTGAATTAATTTCTGTTTTAATTTATAAGTATCAGTGTAGATGCACAGCAAATCACTCCTTTGTGTCTTCAAGCTGTGAGTTTGGAACTTTTATTTTAGATAAATGTGAGCAGTTTTAAACAGTGGTGCAAGTATAGTACATGCCTTTACATGTAGAAAACTGTGAGGGTCAGACTATCGGTGCACTGGTACATTGATTATAGTTTCTATTCGAAGATTGTTAAACCTAATTAGCCCTTATAGTTGATTAAATACTTGGGTTTTTAGATGAAGTAATATTCCTACAGGTGGGTAACAAGTGTGATTTTTAAAGATAGAAAACCTTGTAACAATTTTCACCGCTTAAAGCAATACTCTGAAAATTGTACAAAAAATATTCATTGCAACTCATATATAAGAGTATATATTAAGAACACAGTATGTTTGATTATAAAATGTATTAATTGGAGAAAGTTTCATTTGTATTGTGAAATCTGATAAGTGTTTTATCCACATGTGCACTCTGTTGATTAATTTTGATACAGTCTTATAGTGTGTACCTTCCCCGAGTATTTGATTAATTAAAAAAATGGCTAACTCTAAAACTAATGGTAACCTGTAGTCCATGCTTTCAGTTCTTGGTAACGTTGCATCAGACCTCTTTGTAAATTTTTTACCTAAATGTGGGATAAGTAATCAGTAATTAATAAACTAGGTTGTTTCCCCTTCCCTGTTCTGTTTTTACCACACCTGGATTAGGAATTTTGTAGGAGTAAAAAACCTCAGCCTAAGCAATAACATATTTGTTAAAAATAAAAAAAAGTTTAATGACATAAAATTAAATTAAAAAAAATAGCTTTGATTAACTTTTAATAAATTGTAGAATATAAAAACAAAATTAAAATAAGTAAAATTAATAAGTAAACTTATTTTTGTGTAGTAGTGGATGTGGAAAATTTATAACTTGGAGGTGTATACAACATTTGTTTATATTTTAACAGCAAAGCAAAGTGATGATGCACTTGCATTAAATTACATATATGCATATTGCAATTCACTCTTCTAAATGCAAATAAAAGAGCAAGGTTGAGGTAGGCTATATCCCAAAGTGCATTAATTTAAAAAAAGATTGTGTTAATACTTAATAAAATAAGTGGTGAGAAATAATGGTGATGCATTATTCTTAATGCGAATTTTATACTGGAGCAAAGTAAAAGGGTCACATAATAGAAATAAAATAGCTACCATTTCCATTTCCCTCCTTGCGATTTCCATTTCCTGTTGAGGAGAACCTTTAGGCTGTCTTCTTCTCTCTACCATCCCAGCTGTGAGATCCTTAATTCTTTTTTCAAGCTCACAAATTCTAGCCTGTCTAATATTGTGATAACAATTTGTTGTTTATTTTATTTGTTAATGTATAACAGCAGCAAACGTATATAGTGTTCTAAACACAAAGAAGCATAACTTTGATCTTTTTTAGTTTAAATATTCTATATAGGATCTGCAGACAATTTCTTTAAACCTACTGAATTTTAATTAAATAAAACATTATTAATGATAGAAAGAGAACTGAAGCCAACAGGGATGTCTTCGGAGGCAGCAAAATTAATAGCCGGGGATCGGATGAAATGGAAGGAAATGGTGGAGGTTTTATGTTCCATAAGGTGCAAAGAGGTCTAAGTCTAATGACAGAAAGAGCTTCCGATACATTAAGATTTTATTGGTTTTACTGAAGTAAAATTTATGAATATTTTAAAGTTTCTAAGTTGTGTAAGTTACAATAATTTATGTAAATTCTTTGGGGTAATGAGCTATATACACCATCTATAACACTTGTAAACTGTTTGTCTATCAATTCTTTGTTTTATTTACCATTCCCACAAAACCGCCAACTTAGCCATTCAGAAATTATAACATGATTTGAATAGCAAAGGTGATGAGTTTAATTTAACTGTGAGCAGTACAAAATGGTGAAAAACATACTTTTCCTCTTCTATCCTATGACGAGTGGCAGGGGAAAGATTTCTTTGTTCTTTTAACTTCTTTTCTTTCTGTATATCTGCCTGTGTAAATTAAGCCAGAGTAAAGTAATTGTTTTAAAATACATTTTCCCAAAATTTATTTCAAATGCAGTTATCTTAAATGTTAAAAACAAAAGGAATAGTTTCTATCAGTCTATCTATTCTATAGTCTAGTCTGTCTAAGCAGACTATTGAATCATACAAAGAAAAGCTACAATAAAAAATAAGCTGATTGGCAGACTATTATAATTGCATGTGAATGTATCATATTAAATTAATTAAAACAGAGTGATAGTAAAGCATAAGTATGGCAATTTCATAAAGTTTTTACCAAGATTAAGATGAATTTATCTTTATATTTTGTCAAGACTGAACCAACATTCTAATTTAACTAAACTTCAAGTTGAATACATCTTTATATTTTGTCAACAGTCCAATTTAACTAACCTTCAAGTTGAATAAATCTTTATATTTTGTCAACAGTCCAATTTCACTAACCTTCAAGTTGAATAAATCTTTATATTTTGTCAACAGTCCAATTTAACTAACCTTCAAGTTGAATAAATCTTTATATTTTGTCAACAGTCCAATTTAACTAACCTTCAAGTTGAATAAATCTTTATGTTTTGTCAACAGTCCAATATAACTTACCTTCAAACGCTCCTCTTTAGAAAGAACTCTCTTCATATCAGGATCTATATCAAATGGTGCTTGTTCTACTGGTTCTTTGAAATCTAAGAAAACAAGTATCATTATTGAACTTTACACTCTTGTATATAACTATCTGTATATATAATATATATATTGAATAAAAAGGTGAGATTAAATTATGCAGTGGTGTCACAGTGCCAATTGTTACCAACATCAATCAACATCTCTTCTGTAATAATATTATCCACCATGGACTGATTGACATTTACCTAGTAATTACTTTAAATGTAACAAGAAAAGTACCAGTTCATCAACACCAAGAATAAACAAAGATTTACACTAAGAGACGTTCAGCTACTTAGCATTTACAGTATCAATTTGCAATGTTCCATAGTGGTGTCACCTCTATCCTTTTTTGGCATTTGGTGTGTTAAATTATCATTAAAATTACAAAATTATTAATGCAAGTGGAAAAAGAGCAGGTTTCTCTGTACATTTTTCAATATGGTGTCACCATAAACAGATTAAGGGAAATATTTTTTGGGAAAAAGTGGCTTAAAACATAATAGAATAATACTTGAATTTACTGTGTACAACAGAATAAAGAAATATCATAAAAAACTCAGCTAATAAAATACGACTACACTACATTGATGACAGTGGTTTTGGTGATATTTGATTCTCTTAGCAGAAAGGCATCAAGTCAACTAACAAACACAGAGGTGTATGTGTTGTTAGTGTGTTTATGTCTAATTTTGTGTGATTGTCTAGTTGTTTAATAATCTATTTATTAGTGTGATAATGTCTAGTTTTGTGTGAGATAGTCTAATGTTATTGCATGAATGTCTAGTTACTTGTGTGAGATAGTCTAATGTTATTGTATGAGTGTCTAGTTACTTGTGTTGATTACGGTCTATTATATTTCTTAGTGTGTGAAAGTCTAGTAGTTAGGGAGCAAAGATCTAGTTTTATGTGTGAAGGGTTGGCTAGTAGTATATCAAGGTTGATTGTAGTTGTTAGTGTGAAGGTAAAATAGATAGTGGTGAGTGAAAAGTTTACTTTTTACCTTCTCCAGGCACAAAATGCTTTGAATATTTTTTCTGTTGTAGTATTTTTGCTTCCTCTCTCCAGTTTTTAAGCATCGCATCGTCCCTATTAAAAAGATTCTGGACATGAATAAAAACATCACAAAACAAATATAGTAACATTTTATGTAACGCTATATTAATGGATTCAGAATTCAAATTTTTAATAAGGTAACTCAAAGGCAAAATATATAGCTGTGATTGGCTTATTTATTATCTATCTAGCCTTTACACTGCACACAAAATATATAAAACTCTCACTTTCTTCGCTGTAAAATTGCATCTGTTTTTTCTTGAAATTCTTTTACTCTTGCCATCTGCTTTTCTTCATTCATTTTAAAAGTTACATACTCTTGTGTGGGGGGTGAAGGAAAGTGATTCACTTTCCAAGCCATCTTGCTCTCTTTCATTTGTTTAATTCTGCACAGACATGTATTTTAAGTTGCAGAACCAAATTTTAAATTTGAAAATGAAAGAAACAAAAATTTTTGAAAATTATAACTTAGAATTAAAAAAAAATACTTTGAACAAATAATAATTTAAAAAATGATAATAAAATTGTGAAATTTAGACAGGAAATCAACAGCCTGCATTTATTTATTTTATTAGGCTTATATTTTGGTTACATGTTTAAGAAAGAAACAATACCAATCAAAGATAAAAAAGACTTAACACAATGCCAGGTAAGTATTCATTTGTTAGTAAAACTGGCAAAATAAATAAATTTATGTATATAAGAATTGAATTTTTGCTATGCGATGTGTGCAATTGTAAGTAATTTGTAGCTGTAACAGTTAAATAGCTGAGCTTTATTGAAGTATAGGACATTTGTTTTAGATTAGTCCTTTAAAGCTTGCTTGAAAAATGTGACAATGTCATTACACAACTCAGATGATAATTTTCGTGTAATTGGAGCTTGATTAATCTTAAGACAGTTGCTGGCACCAAGAATCTGCATATCCTCATGAAGAAATAGCATTGGGCTGAGGTGAATTGTAATACAGATTTTCATAACAAAATTGCAAATGTTGGTATTGCAGATAATCAACAAATTAAAGCTAATCCCACATAGGTTATGAAATGGTCAAGCAAAACAAAGTACATCAGAAGAACTTATTAAATTTCATTAATTTGCCCTGCTAAAAGATTTATAATAGTGAAACATTAAACCAAAATACAACAGTTATTTTAAAATAAGTATTCTACAATTAAAAAACTTTAAACATAGTGTTCTAAGGGAGGTAAACTTTAAACCTACTTCTTTGCTCTAAGGGAGATAAACCTAACACTTACCGCTCTAAAGGAGGAAGCTCTCCAGTTTTCTTGAGTTTGTTCTTTTTATGATGTCTTTCATTAAGTTGAGAAATAGAAGGTTTGACTTCAGAATCTGTGGACGCTCCATAATGTTGTGCTGCAGACACCTGAGCCCTTATTCTAGCTATGTCCATCATACTAGCTGTTGTGTTCCAATCATCAGAGCTGGCACTGATCTGTTCAAGGCTATCTGGGTGGTCTTCACTTAACTGTAAGTCTTATAGAATAAAAAATGTAAAGCAAAGTTACGCTTGCTGACTTGACAGTCGACAGGGCAGATGAAGTAGAGTTCACCTGTTTCTGTGACTTGAGTAATTATGTGGTCAGGTTTTTACACATCACTTATGACAGATCAATGTGTCTAGTGATGACCTACAGGCTTGAGTCTGGGATATGAACTCAAGATTTTAGGGTTAGCAGTCACATGCCCTACACCACCCAGCCATGCTGTTCCTTAATTCTAATTTCAGATTGGAATTAAAAATGCTAAAGAATGCGTTGTGACAGTGTTATAGTAAAATTTAAAAAGAAGTTAATTATGCTATTTTAGTGTATGGAATAAATAAATAAATCTTAAGTCAATTAAAAATATTAATTTGTTATTTTCAAAAGAGCTAGTTTTGATATGCACTGAACTATTTTAGTATACATTGTTTTCTATTTTCTATTTAACTGCATCCAATTATAATAGCCTTAGAGTCATCCATAAATGACGTCACACTCGTAGGGGGGGAGGGGGGTCCGTAAATTTGTGACGATGTGTGATGAGGGGGAGGGGTTCAGATGTTGTGACGTCACACTTTTATATTATAAAAAAGCAATGTTAGAAAACGAATTTTAGACGTTATTTCACATTTTAGATAACTGTTTTAATAAATTGTAATAGTTTAGACAAGATTTTAGAAAAATATCGATGTTTTAAAAAATTCAACTGCAATTTTGAGGGGGGTTGTAGGTTGAGGTGTGATGTCATTTTAGGGGGGTCTAGCTTTTTGTGACAACGTGTGATGGAGGGGAGGGGGGAGGTAAAAAAGCGTCAAAAAAAGCATGACGTCATTTGTGGATGACCCCTTAACTATAAATGAAAGCTGGGATTTCTATAGATACAATAAAAGTACAAACAAGTATGTTAATAGCATTTAGAATTCCACTAGGGCAAACAAGTGAGTTATGTTAAATAACTAACTGCACAAGGTGATAGTTTCATTTCAACAAAAAAGAATTCCAATAACATTTAACATTACCTAAATCAGACATTTTAGCAGACATTTTAGCATCTATCATGTCCCTGAGGAACTGAAGGATGCCTTGAGTTCCTGTCTCAATGATCATCTGTGGAGGAAAGTCTAGTGGGTTTCCAGCTATATTTAATCCATGAAGACTCTTGACTAGACCTTTTCAAATAAATTGTGTGTTTTAATAACAAAACTTACAATTGTTTTTATAAGACTATAGGCCTATTTTCTAATAAAATAAAATATTTTTGAAAATTAATTTTTACACAAGTATTTGTATATCCTGCTTCCTTCTAACTCTAACGTAAAAAAAACAATTTGAAAAGAAAGCACAGTATAAAATCATTTAGAATCAGAAATAAAAAAGGGTAAAAAAAACTGCTTTAATTGAAATATAGGCTAATTATAAAAGCTATTAAATTTATAAACATACCTAACTCCAATGGAAGGTTACGGAGATTGTTTCCTTCCAGCAGGAGATTACGAAGACATGTGTGGCATGAAAGATACATTGATGGTATTCGACTTAATAAATTATTCCTCAGGTCTAACCATAAAAGATGAGGAAAACACTTGAAAAACTCATCAGGTAAAAATGCTATTTCATTGCCTTCAAGATACATGTACTGAAATAATAGTAATTTATTACTTAATATTACCGATGCAATGGGAGGATTCAAGGCCATCACATTAAAATAAAATAAGTGGCTAAATAGTAAAATTAAGCATTAATTTATTAAACAAAAAGTGAAACTATTTTTATCCAGCAAAAATCACCAAATGAGATGGATTTCCAATCTAGAATACTAGATCTATGAATGTTAAGGAGACTAATGAAGCGAGTTCTTTCTAGTGTTAGTTAATTATTCAGAAAACAATTACAATAATTATTGGGGCTTAGAAAAAACAACAACACCTGTCTACTCTTTAGACCAGGTCTATTACCTAATTAAATAATAAATACTATTAATATTCAATAAAATAGACCTAGATCTACTTAAGATATTAAAATTAGCCTAGACCATGTTGGCCTTATTATTTTTAGTATAGATCTAGCTGATTCTATCTAGTATTAGACATTAGTATTATTACCTCCAAATTAGATAAATCCAACAACATTTCAGGAAATGATTGCAAACGTTTTCGACTAAGCTCAATAGAAGAAGTTCGCAAACGTTTTGTTGATTCAATAATTTCAGCAATTTTATTTTGTTCTTTTTTCGTTTTTACAAATGCAACATCAGCTGGTGTTTCGCAAGTATCAGCTTCGCCTTCATCGAAAGAATTGTTGGCTGTTGTGCTAAGGACCATTTCAGTTTCTGTTTGAAGTTCTTCATCCTCAAAACTATCGTCATCATTATGTTCTTCGCCTTCAACCGCTTTATTACTATCAAAATCATGAGTATCTGAATGAGAATCTGACTGAGGAGCCGAAACGGAATGAGAGCCGCCCTGAATCAGCGACTCGAAATTTGATGAATGAACAAAAATCTCCGAATCGCCACTCTCCATTGTTTTTAGTGATAAAAGTTCGAAACGAATTCTTTTATTGTTGTCCTGTAGATTATTTGTAAATATGGTAAAGCATGTAGAGGGCCTACTACTGCCAAAACCTCGTGTCGATCATTTACAATTTACAATAATAAAAACATTCGGCCATGCTTGAAGCTAAAATAATCGCTATGCAACAAGATCACGTGACAAGCATTTCCGCTACGTTAAAAAACAAACTTTATGAGAAGGTGAGTAGTCATGTGACTTTGAAATCGATAGTTCCAGCTCTAAAGCGAGTACGCTTCGCTCAACTCGCGCGCTCTGTTAGCAATGTTCTCCCCTCGCAACAAAAATATGTTTTAGCTAAATAAAGCCGAATGCAGCATACTATACCTGAAGAAAGCATTTGCAAAGGTCTTAACATGCTTAGTTTGATGGTATTCCCTCCAAATATATCATTGCTATCTGTGTCTTAGCGAGTTGGGAATTAATTCGAAACTTAATATCATAGGCCGTATACATATTATTATGTCATAGATATTTTATCCGGTGCTTGTATTTTTTCATAGATTATTTAGTGTAAAAACTAATAAAAACAACAGTTCTTCGTACATGGAATTCTTATGCTAACACTAGTCAAGTTATTGATAAAACGAGCTTTTTTATGTTTGTTTCTAAAGTAAATAGTAAGTGGCATTTGACTTCAACGGTGCAATTATCCATTTACTCTTTCAGGTGTGAGCTCATCATAAGGATGGCCGTGCTTGCAGTTTGGTGAGGATTTACAAAATCAGACAGTGAAGATGTTTGAAAGAAGTGAGAATCAATTATTTCGTTAAATACTGGATTGGATTTTTACAAACGGTTCAAGTCTTTGGCTGAGCGAAGACTAAAATAGGTTTTTTCTTCCTACGCCAGTCAACGGATGGTGATCACGTTGTCACCCCGTGACCCTAAACAAACCGTCAAAATTGGTTGTACTATGGGATCGGGACACTCATCTAAGAATGAGACGTTTGATGGAACAGGGACAGGTAGGCTTGCATGTGTTTCTCGTTTCTGTTTTCATCGGTAGCCTAGGGGGTTGTTGTCTGTTACAGACAGGCTACGTTAGGGAGCTCTTCACAAAATATTGTCTAAATAACAGTCAAGACAAAGCTGAATGTAGGATATATATATATATATATATATATATATATATATATATATATATATATATATATATATATATATATATATATATATATATATATATATATATATATATATATATATATATATGTATATCCTACATACGCATGTATATGTATTTAAATGAACATCTATAACCTATATATTCATATATATATATATATATATATATATACATAAATATAGCCTATACATATTGTTTATATATATCCATATATATCATATACGTAGGCCTATATATTTATATTGGCCCTATATATATATATATATATATATATATATATATATATATATATATATATATATATATATATATATATATATATATATATATATATATATATATATATATATATATATATATATATATATATATATATATATATATATATATATATATATATATATATATATATATATACACACACACACATATTCATATTATATATAATATGTGTGCGTAGAGTGTGTATACTCCGTAATTTTTTTATTGTTTGTGAATATCACGAAATGAATCACGATATATCTTTCGAAATGTATTTATAAAACAAAGAGGATTTTAAGCAATTTGCTTCCCCCCATCCCCGCGTAGGCCCTAGGCAATCATAATCTTCGGCCTCCTTATGTAATTATTTAGCAAACAGGTCTACACCCCCAACCTCGCCAGCAATTATAATGATTGAAGTAGTGTACACACAAGCTCCGTGTAACGAGACCAGTAGACAGTTTCTAACTAAGCTGATTAGTTAATCAATGAGGAGTGAGTATTGTTTGTTTGATGTAGGTAGTGTCCCTTGAGGATGCTGACTATACTACAGTATCTGGGGCGTCGTATTAGACTTGCACTCGTATTTTATGTAGCACACACACATTTCATTCAAAACACTAAATGCAAACTCGATTTTGCGTGATCTACCGTTCCCTAGGTTCACTACCGTAACTAACTTTTACTACCGTAACCTACTTTCACTACCGTAACCTACTTTCACTACCGTAACCTACTTCACTACCGTAACCTACTTTCATTACTGTCACCTACTTTCACTACCGTTCCCTACATTCACTACCGTAACCAACTTTCACTACGAGCGGTAACCTATTTTAACTACGGTAAATCTACTTTCACTACCGTTCCCTAATTTCATTATCGTAACCTATTTTCACTACCGTAAGCAACTTTTATGGAACGGCGTGGCTGAATGGTAGAGCGCCCAATTGCTAGCTCGAAGGTTCCGAATTCAGATCTCGGTTCGGACTAAGGACGTACCTGAATGCACACAGCTCTTATAGGTATTTGACTCACGTTACGGAAAGTAAAGGCGGCTGGACACAGTACTGACCACACCATTCCTTCATATGCCGAGTTCAAGAAACAGGTGAATTCTAATGCATCTGCCCTAAGGACCCCGAATATATCCTCCCAAAGGAAAGTTCTCATGCTCATCATGCTCAGTGTTTCGTTCAGGCCTCTCCCCCCCTTCACCCGAGCCAAACAAGATTTATATACAAGATATATTCTTTTACCTGTGCTCGCTCACCCCCCACGTAGAAAAAAGTCTGAAAGAAACACTTCTCACGCTAGGTTACATTTGTTGGTGTGGGCACGCTATCGTCACTCTATGTCTAGTATTTCAAAATTTTCAATGTCATACATTTTTCCCCACCCCCATGACCAAGTTCTGCCTACGCCACTGACAGAAGATAATTCTGATCTCTAATTATCTGAAGATGTATATTTATATTTGATCAGCATCTGAACTATTAGATTAACATTACGTCTGTGCCCTTGTTGGTTCACAATCCACACATATCTAATGTAATACATTAGCTTTAATCCTCTGGGAATGAGTACAGACCTATCTCCCCGTGCCAGAAACTGTTCCAGGAAGGGGGGTATGGCGGAGATGACGACCTACAAAGATAGCACGTTCTTAGACTGCCGCTGGGCTAACCCAGTTTATTTTTTTTGTGCCACTGCGCATGTCATATTGAAATACCGTGTAGCCACCGGTGACCACCGTGTGCACTTCCTCACGGATTTCCGGCCGCCGTCTGCTCAAGTGTCGTGAGCTGTAGCTCACTGATAAAACGCGTGTCAGATAGTGTGTACTCACTTTATATTGAACACGCTGAAAACATTATATAAATACCTACACACACGTTTCTTTGTGCGCACGCAGACACGCCACACACGTATGTGAAGATAAAGAAAATAGAAAGACGGTTTTTATTTACTTATGTGATGGAGGCGGCCGCATTTTACGAGTTGGGAGCGACCATTATTGTTGACATGGATTAAAAAAAAGTGTTTTTGAAAGTTAGATTTTGCCATCAAAGCGACCGTAAAAAAATTATAAATAAAAACAACTTTTTAAAAAAAATGTGTTTAGTTACCGAAAATACTAAAACATCAAATACATCCAATCTTAAGTAACGTCCGTCAAAAATCAATCGGCTTTTTATAACCCTATTTATTTTAATAACTTTTACCAGATTAAAAAAAAATATTTTATACACAATTTCCTGATCATTCACGTTCGCCTCCATTAGTAAAATGAGTAGAGAAATGATATCAAAACATCACCCGTTTTTTAAGTATTGTATGTTACGTCACATAGCATAATCTGTCATGGGTCGTCACATATCGTCACCCGATAAAATTGACTATAATGGCCAGCTTGTTCCATATATATATATATATATATATATATATATATATATATATATATATATATATATATATATATATATATATATATATATATATATATATATATATATATATATATATATATATATATATATAAATTTCATGGTAGACTGTCTTCGGGCGGGCTCTGCCCCCCTCGAAGAGATGGCTGGAAGAAACTCTGACCATAATATCATTGTGCAAATGGGAACTTTTTTGGTATCAATGTAACTGAAGTATGGTGATTAATTATTCCGATTGAAGCAGGTAATTACATATCCGAATTACCGAACCATTTTTGTGTGCACGCGTGAAGCAGACTTATCTCAGAGCATGAGTTAGCTTCGATAAAATACAGCGACGTAAATTTTCAAGAAGTGAGGTTTGAGTTAGGTTTAGGGTTGCAAGAAATACACTAATTGTGGAGGGGTTTGTTTTAGAGTGATGAGGACATGTAAGTGGAAATAAGATCAGAGCAGCATAACTCTTCTCTCGTGGACGTCTGTTGGATTCATGCCGTCTAACCGCATTATTGTCCACAAAATGTCGTTTGGGATAATGTCCAGTTGCTGAATGGGTTCAGTTTAAGATGACCAAGGGAAGTAACACGGGTAGGATCTTGGCTGGAACTGGCGCATTGCACTGCAGAACGCGACCCTCGATGTGAAAACGTGACGCATTGCACTGCAGAACGCGACCCTTAAGGTAAAACGTGGCGCATTGCAGTGCAGAACGCGACCCTCGATGTAAAACGTGACGCATAGCAGTGCAGAATGCGGCTCAGTGTAAAATATCAAGCATAACACACCGAAACGCCACCCACAATGTGAACAATTACAAAACATTCCCTTGTATAATGTCTCGACCGTCTCAACTTGTTTTAAGCACAAATATTTTGTGCTTGGCGGTTTCGACCTTGACCCTAGCCGTGTGCTTTGTGACAGAGAGTAACGTATCATCAGATACAATGGTGGATCATTGGATGTCTGGCTCAAAGTATCCGTTTTTTTTCGAAAAGTTAAAAAAATGTCCCATTGCAGTGCTTACAGATAACTACCTAGCTCTACGTTTTTACACACATCCGACTGTAAAGCCCCCCCCCCCCCCCCCATAAAAAACAACTAAAAATATTTTCAATGTATTTCTCAGAATTTGAAAGTTTACAATGACTTGCAAGTAACTACTCACATAATTTTACACTAATTTCTGCAATTTAACACTTACATATACATTTACAGTAATTTCTTCAAATACCACACACAATTTGCACTTACAATTTTACAGTAATTACTGGAACTTAAAACTGATTGGCTGTGTGTAGGTCACGTGAATTAATTTTGACACATGCACATGCGTATAATCGGGCTGCATTCATCTTTCATTCCCAGAGATTTCTCTAACGAAGGGAGACCATCGCCCAGGATCTAGCCAGTGTATGCACATGTTTATACAGAGATCGCATTGATGCCGCTATTCAGAAATGTTTCCATTAAAATAGTTGGACGCAAGATTCAAGAACGAGAAGGCTTGCTCAACATTTCAATTTATCCTTAAAATATTTTCACTGACTAGCATGTCGCACAAACATCTGCGCTTGACAATACGGATAAATTTGTGACAACGCCAGATTCAACTTGGTATAAACTAGAAATTGGGTGTTGAAGTGGAGTCCAAATGGAGTCCTGCCGGTTGGCGTTTTTTTAAACCAAATCTGAATATTTTTATTAAATCTTTTTTTTTTTAAGTTAGGAAAGCTACTTTCGCTTTTGGCTTCAAAACAAACTCAAGAATTTAGAATCAGAATTTCGTGAATTTAGATCTAGAAATCGAGATAGAAAATTAAAATCTAATCTAGATCTAGATTCTAGATTCTAAATCTACTTCTAGATCTAGATAAAGAATTGACTTTTCAGATTTTAATATAGTCTAGAGTCTAGAATCTAGATTCTAGAATTATATTTAGAATATATAACTATAACCGGCTCGTTAGATTTAGTTTTAGAGTTTTAGTAACTTTTAGTAGTTTTAGATTTTAGAGGTAGATCTAGATTCTACTAACTCTAGATCTAGAAATCTAGATCTTGATCTGATCTAGGGACCGTAGTCTAAACCGATTTTATTAGAAGAGTAAAGAAGAGGTTGTAAAGTCAAGTG